ATTCATGAGACACAGAGAAAGGCAGAGACACAGAAAGAGGGAGAAACAGGCTCTTCGTAGGGAGCCCAATATGGGACTCGATCCCCTGACCGGGATCAGGCTCTGAGCCAAAGGCAGACCCTCAACTGCTGAGCCATCCAGGCGTCCCAGGGGTCTAGGTTCTGATGCGTTGTGTCTAGCACATTGGTTAGCTTATAGTAGGTGCTTAGTAAATATAATATAATGGAAGACCAGTACCCAGTCTCTAGGAGCTCACATAGAAAAGTTAACCAATCTAGCCATGGAAGGCTTGTTGGCACTAATGAACATTTATGGAATAAGCAAGGGTTGCAAACTCATAGAACAAAGATAAGATGGGTCTGAATTTTCATCTGTTGGGGACCAGTCTTTCCTTTTCCTCCAGGAGTTCCTATGCTCTCAGTGTTAATTTCTTAATCTAGGTCAGGGGCCCGGAATAGTAGTTTAGGCGCCAGCCATCCTGGCCTCAGGAACCTGTGAGTGGGATGGAGAGTGGAATGGAAGCTATGCTCTTCCCTGGATTTGTCTGGCAACAAACAGTTAAGTTGGAGGATCAGATGGCACTGTGTAACTGGAGACTCTCCCTTAGTTGTACCTGCTTATGGTTTAGTTTTTTCTAAAACAATCTTAAGCCTATTTCTGTATTCATAAAAGGCAAAAAAAAGTAAAATATTAATTGCTTAATAGGAAAATAATTAAAGAGTGTAACAGACCAGAAGATGTAGTAAGATAATACATAATCATTTATCAAATGAATAATATCTGAAAACCTTCTCAGAAACCTTTAGGGATGCTGTACTGCCTGCAGATCAAAGTCTACCTTTTTAACCTGGCATATAGGACCCTCCAGAATCTCTCCCAGGTACCTTGGCAGCTCCTACTTCTACCAGTTCCCCATGTACATCTGGTGCTTTAAACATTCTAATTTCTGATTCTTTTCTAACCTCAGAACTATCTCTGAGTTTTCTTCTCCCTCCTACATTTTCCAAGTCCTCTCCTTTCAATTCTGACCTAGAGTTTAGAGCCCAGGTAAGACATGAGACAGGTTCTTCCCTTGAAGCATTTCTAAACTAGTCCAGCTCTTGGAGATATCTCCCCTGTGTAGATGCTGTGATCATAGTAGTCGGCAGTTTCGGTTTTATGTAGCAGTAAGTTGTGGCACGCACATACAGGTCAAACAAAGCGTAACTACGGAACCATAATGTTTCAGAGGTAGACTCTACCTTTGTCCTCTGAAAACGATTGCCCCCTGAAAAGGCATTTCGGTTTCACAAATTGCAAAACTGCTATATAAGCACCATTAGTTAAAATGATATGCTATAATTACCAAAAGTAGACATTGTTTTGCTTATAACCAAATCTTCAAAAAAAAGTTGGCTGACCACTCTTGGGCATATATAGAAGAGATGCAACCTCTTGGGGCGTCTGGGTGGCTCAGTGGTTGAGTGTCTGCCTTTGGCTAAGGTCGTGATCCTGAAGTCCTGGGATCGAGTCCTGCATCGGGCTCTCCTCAGGGAGCCTGCCTCTCCCTCTGCCTATGTCTCTCATGAATAGGTAGATAAAATCTTAAAAAAAAAAAAAAAAAAAAGAGGAAGAAGAAGAAGAGATGCAACTTCTCTTCTAGTCCAGTGCTCTAGCTTCTCATTCACATGGGAATGATGCCAGTGCTGCTGGTTACTCATATGGATCAGACCACTTTCTAGATAGTCAAAAAAGAAAGGACAGAATATCTTTCCTTTTTGTGCTGCTTGACCTACTGTTGTACTTTATGTATGAATATGTAAATGTATTTTTCAAATGTTATGTTTTTTTCTGCAAAGTAATGTGGAAAGTCCAAGTGTCTTCCCCTTGAGCCTTTCCTTTTCTCACTCTCAGTTATCAGTGTTAATAAAGGGAGAAACTACCCTAGACAATCAATACAGTAGAATTGTCTTTTATTGAACTTCATGGGATGAATAGTTTGTATTTCAGTCTCCTTAAAATGGATGTCTGGATGTAGGCTCTATTCCAAGAATAAACACTGTCATCTCTTAATTTTCATGAAATAATTGATGAATACTGTAATTAAAAGCAGTAACTGGTTTGGGAAGTAAGAGGATTTTTGTGCAGAAAGGAATATTTGGAAAATATGTTCTGAAGTAGATATTTCCACTTGAAAATAAATACTGCTTTGCATCCTACTTTTTCTGTATTTGAGTTATTTGCTTAGCAGATGTTGTAGTTCCTACTTTAGAAAGCACATACCTGGACATTTTGGGGGATACAAAGATGAATGAGAGTGGAGCTTGCTCTCAAGGAGCTTCGTTAGTATGAAGGTCATACCTACAGTTTAGTTTAAGGCACTTTTAAGTGTAGCTTTATGTTGCTTTGGGTTTTAAGATATGTGTGAAAAAGAAATATAGTGTTGAAGAGAATTTTAGAAGGTGAATAGGACAGATAAAGGAGACTAGATGACTTTTGGGTTCAGACTGATGGCTGTGTCAGTTCTACTTCTAGGATTGTTTGTGGATGAATACCTAAATTTTTGAGAGCTTGAAGTGGAAAAGGACCATGGCCAAGAGTATAGCAAATGGAGAGGGCACAAGTTTATGGTTGTCAGTGGTAAGTTTATGGTAGCAGGGAGGTAATAGTGAGATGTGAAGGATAGCTGAATTCTAAAGTGTTTGGAAGTATCTGAAGTTAGAGAAAGCTAATTAGATAGGTGATAGGAATAGTGCCATGCTCTAACAGAGCTATGCTTAGAGTCCTAAAATCTGGATTTTATTACTTGGCTCAGTCACTTACAAGCTAAATAAATTACTATATTGAGCAAGTCCTTTCACTTTAATAATCTGTTTTTAAAGTGGGTTTCTTAGGGTACCTAAGTGGCACAGTTGGTTAAGTGTCTGATTCTTAAGACAGAGAATGATTTCGGCTCAGGTCATGATCTCAGGGTCGTGAGATCTAGCCCAGTGTCAGGCTCCACACTGGGTGTGGAACCTGCTTTAAGATTCTCTCTTTCTCTCTCTGCCTCTACCCCTGCCCCCAGCTCTCTCAGATAGGAAGGAAGGAAGGAAGGTTGAGTTTCTTATAGATAGCATATAGCTGAATCTTATTTTTTTAATCGAATCTGACATTTGCTACCTTTTAATTGACATGTTTAGACCATTCAATTGATGTAATTATTTTTATGTTTGTTTTAAATTTTACTGTCTTGCAAGCTGTTTTCAATGTGTTCCATTGACTTTTGGTCCCTTTTTTCCTTTTTTGCTTTCTTTTGGATTGAGAATTTTTTATGATCCCACTGTATCTCTACAATTGACTTACTATTTATACCTTTAAAAAATTAGTGATTACTCTTGGATTTATAATATACATCTTTACATTTTTTTAAGATTTTATTTACAGTCTTAAATTTTATTTATTCATTCGTGAGAGACACAGAGAGAGAGGCAGAAACATAGGCAGAGGGAAAAGCAGGCTCCCTGCAGGAGCCTGATGTGGGACTCAATCTCAGGACCCTGGGATCACGACGTGAGCCAAAGGCGGTGCTCAACCACTGAGCCACCCAGGTGCCCCTACAATATACATCTTTAATCAGAGCCTGCCTTCAAATAATAATCTATCACTTCACATCTAGTTTAAGACCTTACAATTCCCAATTCCTCCACTCACTTTTTGTGCTATTTTTATATATTTTATTTTGCTTATGCTATAAACAAAATACATTCCTATTTTTGCTTAGATGTTTATCTTTTAAAGCAATTAAATATATTTTAAATTAAAAAATGAATTGTATTTAATTTCCGTGTTTTCCATTCCTGGACTTTATTTCTTTGTTGTGTATTGTGTAGACCTAGTTTCTGATATATATGTACAAAGGACATATATATGTATATGTATATATGTATATATGTATATATAGTAGTGATGGTCTACTAGAAATTCTCTTAGTATTTGTCTGAGAAAGTTATTTCTCCTTTATCTCCTTCAAAGATACTTTCTATGGGTAAAGAATTCTGGGTTGACAGTTATTTTTCTGTGATAAAGGTATTACTCTGTTATCTTCTGATGTTTCAAATAAGTCTGCTATAATTTTTGTCTTTATTCCTGTGTGTTTTGTTTGTTTGTTTTTTAAAGATTTTATTTACTTATTTGAGAGAGAGAGTGAGCACAAGTGGGGGCATAGGGGCAGAGGGAGAAGCAAGCTCCCAGCTGAGCAGGGAGCCCCACATGGGTCTCAATCCTAAGACCCTGGGATCATCATCTGAGCTGAAGGCAGACACTTAACTGACTGAACTACCTAGGTGCCCTGTTTAACGTGTGTGTCCGAGCCAAAGGCAGACAACCACTTAGCCACCCAGGTGCCCCTTAATGTGTGTTTTTAATTTGGTTGTCATCAGGATGTTATCTTTGTCTTCAGGATTTTATTTTCATTTTCCATAGCTTGACTATATGTGTAGGTGTGGGGTTTTGTTTGGTTTTTGTTTCTATATTTTTGTTTTTTGGTATTCTCTGAGATTCTTGGATCTATAGTTTGGTGTCTGTGTTTAATTTTGTAAAATTCTTGGCTACTATGTCTTCAAACATTTTTTCTGACCACTGTTTGTCCTCTCCTTTTGGGATTCCAATTATACATAAGTTAGATTGTTTAATATGCCCATAGCTCTTGAATGTTCTCTTACATTGTTCTCATTGATTTTTTTTTTAATTTTGTGTTTCTCCTTCTTTTTCAGTTTGGGTAATTTCTATTGACCTGTCCTCAATTTCATGGATTCTTTCTATGGCTCTGTCAAGCATGTTGATGATACTGTCAGAGGCATTCATTCTTCATCTGTTACTGTCTTTTTCACTTTTAATATTTCAATTCAATTCTTTCTTATAGTTTCCATCACTGTTGGACTTTCTAGCATTAATTTTTATCTTTTTCCATCCCAGATAGCAGCCATGTAGGGCAAGATTTGGATTTTGTTTTTTTCTTATGCCTCTTTTGCATATCTTAGGTTTGGAAAAGCCTTTTGACCCAGGAATCACTAAAAGCTGTTCCAAAATAGAAGGACATAAGAAATGTATTCAAACTAGCTTGGCCTGAGTAGGAAGTAAGAAGAGAGTTATAGACGAGTTGCATTGAGGAATGAAGAATTGCTGTGTGTATCCACAAATTTGATTGACTTGCTCAGGGTAAGTGGTCATCTAAATCTGTTTTTTTCTTCTTTATGTACTTAATAAGACCATCAAGTAACATTATTTTACTCTTATTAAGTGGGATGACCAGCTATAGCCCCTTCTTCCGAACAAAATTAATGTGGGTTAATTTTACAGTAAAGGATGTATTTTTCTATCAATTCCAAAATAGGAAATTTTCTGAGTCTTCCATCTAATATATCTTATCTGTATTTGGCTAAAGTCATAAAGTTGTGTGTTAATTTGTTCTTCGATTCATTCAAATATTTTGTAAGCCTACTATCTCAGAGTCGTTATACATTTGTTGGTGATTACAACGATGAACAAGATATCCTTTCCTCCAGGAGCTGGAGAGACTCTTATTTAACTAACACAAGATGGAGAAAAATTCTTCATGGTTTATACTTTTGGGAAATCCTATACCCAGTGACTTATTTGCTTTGACTGGCTAATTATGGTTTGTTGGTTTTGTTTTGTTTTGTTTTGTTTTTTTGGTTTTGTTTTCCCATCAAGACATATGAGGGTCAAATAAAGAAAGTAAATATGAGATAACTACCTCCAAACTGAACTCCTCTTAATTCTCATGAATGACAAATAGAACCGTTAAAATGTGTGAACACTGAGAATTACTTGGTTAATTCTGGTGTTTTTTTTTCAGGGTAGGAGGCTGAAGTGTCTATCTCCAGAAATGTCTTTGGAAAGTAAACAACAACATGATCTGTCACTCAATAATTCAGTTGAAGGAAATGACCAACACAGTCCTCTGTCTAATATGCATCCAGAGCTTGAAAAGCAATCAAGTACTGACTTCAAGCAATTTGAAGCCAATGATCAATGCACAATTTATCGTAGGATCCATATGGAGCCTCGAGAGAAATCAAGTACTAACTTCAAGCAATTTGTCATTAAAAAACTGCAGAAGAGTTGCCAGTGCAGTCCAGCCAAAGCCAAAAATATGATTTTTGATTTCCTTCCTGTTTTGCGATGGCTCCCAAAATATGATCTGAAGAAAAACATTTTAGGGGATGTGATGTCTGGTTTGATTGTGGGCATCTTATTAGTGCCCCAGTCCATTGCTTATTCCCTCTTGGCTGGCCAAGAACCTATCTATGGTCTGTACACATCATTTTTTGCCAGCATCATTTATTTCCTGTTGGGTACCTCCCGTCACATTTCTGTGGGCATTTTTGGAATATTGTGCCTTATGATTGGTGAGGTAGTTGACCGAGAACTACACAAAGCTGGCTATGACACTGCCGATAATGCGCCTTCTGATTTAGGACTGGTTTTGAATGGGAGCACGTTATTAAACCAGACATCAGACTGGATATGTGACAGAAGTTGCTATGCAATTGCAGTTGGCAGCACTGTGACCTTTATGGCTGGAGTTTATCAGGTAAGAAACAATGGAACAAGTGGTTATTGCTAGCAAAAGAAATCACTGTAAAAAAAAATCACTGTACATGAAATCTCAGGTCTGCAGGGGATGTCTGAGATCATAATAATCAAAGCTATCATTTACTGACTGCTTAGGATATATGAAGGATAGAGCCAAAATTCAAACCCTGATTTGGCTTTACAGGTAAGATAAGGCTGCTTCTCTTTTCTCAACTTTAGGCTACCTCTTAGCCAATCAATTTCAGTCAGTCAGATTGTAATTATTTGCTTGTAAAAATGTTTACCAGAAAGGGACCTTAGATCATTTAGTACAACTCCTTAATCTTATATGCTGAGAAACATTGGGTTTGCTTGAGTTTATTTGTGGTTGGTTATTGGCAAAGTCAGCATTAACAAGCAGGAGAAGGGTAACAGGATAAGGGTTGGCAAAGGGAGGAGTAGAGGAGGTCTCAAACTATAGGTGTCTCCCCTCCATACTTCACCCCGCCTCCTGCCTGCCTTTAGGTTTGCTGCTCTAGTGAGTGACCCTCGCCAAAGAGAGCAATTTTCTTGGACTTCTGGGGAACAAGTTGAGAACCACAATTTCATATTAATCAGCCAAAAGAAAGGATTAGAAAATGAGATTCTCTTCGAGTCTCTCATAGAGTCTGCTAACCCGCCATTATTATCGTGCCCCTGTCTTTGGCATCCAGGAGACATTGCCAGCATTAAACCTCTTCTCTGTTCCAATATGGGCATTTGGTTCCAATATGGGCAGAGGAAGAGTAGCTCACTTTATATGGTGCCTGGTGAAGAGGAAAAGGAGAAGTGGGGGATGTGCAGAAGACTGGTGTTCTGCAGGGTCTCTTTTTCTTTCTTTTATTAGTATGTCTCATCAAGAATGAGGAAGGGCTCGGCAGAGTTCTGAGGAATCATTGGAAAAAGGAAAAAATAAAAAAAGTTCTCTTTGAGGATACAGAATTTGTATGGGAAGTAGTTTGGCATAATAAGCACATATACCCTGAATGAGAAGAGTTTCTCTGCGTGAGGCTAAAGAAGTGTGTTCTATAATCATTTTAAATGTGATTCTTTGATATGAATCCAGTTTTGTTTATCAGTTAAAACTTCACTTTATTATAGTAATGATTTGTAATTTAATGAAAATACATGGTTTTTTAATTAGAATTTTTTCAATTTGAGTTTCTATAATTTCTTGTGGGTCTTTAAGAATTCTTTTCTTTTCAAAAAGGTCTGAACTTTATCCACATTTAAGAAAGATTATATAAGACAGTAGGAATCCTAACTACTTGTCTCATCCAGGCTGAGTAACAGTGTGACTTTGGGCTAGTTGCTTAGCCCTCTGAGTGTCAGTGAAATGAGCCCTCCCTTTGTAAAATAAGAGCCCTCTTTGTAAAACTGATGTACAATTGTGTTTTTTCTACCTCCGACATTTTGCGATGGTCTGATGGTATGTCTCCACACAAAGTAATGCCAGGGTATTTATTAGAGTGTTTGGAAGCTCTTTTCCATTTATATTTAACACTTGTATATCCTTCCTTCCAGGTAGCGATGGGCTTCTTTCAAGTGGGCTTTGTTTCTGTCTACCTCTCAGATGCCTTGTTGAGTGGATTTGTCACTGGTGCCTCCTTCACTATTCTTACATCTCAGGCTAAGTATCTCCTTGGGCTCAGCCTTCCTCGGAGTAATGGTGTGGGCTCGCTCATCACTACGTGGATACATATCTTCAAAAACATCCATAAGACCAATATCTGTGATCTCATCACCAGCCTTTTGTGCCTTTTGGTTCTTTTGCCAACCAAAGAACTCAATGAGCACTTCAAGTCCAAGCTTAAGGCACCAATTCCTACTGAACTCATTGTTGTTGTGGCAGCCACATTAGCCTCTCATTTTGGAAAACTAAATGAGAAATATAATACCAGTATTGCTGGGTCTATTCCCACAGGGTTTATGCCACCCACAGCACCGGACTGGAACCTAATTCCTAGTTTGGCCGTAGATGCAATAGCTATTTCAATCATTGGTTTTGCTATTACTGTATCACTTTCTGAGATGTTTGCCAAAAAACATGGCTACTCAGTCAAAGCTAATCAGGAAATGTATGCCATTGGCTTTTGCAATATCATCCCTTCCTTCTTCCACTGCTTTACTACTAGTGCAGCTCTTGCAAAGACCTTGGTTAAAGAATCAACAGGCTGCCAAACTCAGCTTTCTGGTGTGGTAACAGCCTTGGTTCTTCTGTTGGTCCTCCTAGTAATAGCTCCTTTATTTTATTCCCTTCAGAAAAGTGTCCTTGGTGTAATCACCATTGTAAATCTCCGGGGAGCCCTACGTAAGTTTAAGGATCTGCCCAAAATGTGGAAGGTTAGCAGAATGGATACGGTTATCTGGTTTGTTACCATGCTGTCCTCTGCACTGATAAGTACTGAAATAGGCCTGCTTATTGGGGTTTGTTTTTCTATGTTTTGTGTCATTCTCCGTACTCAGAAGCCAAAGACTTCATTGCTTGGTTTGGTGGAAGAGTCTGAAATCTTTGAATCCATGTCTGCTTACAAGAATCTGCAGACTAAGCCGGGAATCAAGATATTCCGTTTTGTAGCCCCTCTCTACTACATAAACAAAGAATGTTTTAAATCTGCTTTATACAAAAAAACACTCAACCCAGTCTTAGTAAAGGCAGCTCAGAAGAAGGCCGCAAAGAGAAAGATCACAAAGGAAACAGTGATTCTCAGTGGAGTCCAGGATGAAGTTTCAGTGCAACTTTCCCATGATCCCTTGGAGCTTCAAACCATAGTGATTGACTGCAGTGCAATACAGTTTTTAGATACAGCGGGGATTCATACGCTGAAAGAGGTTCGTAGAGATTATGAAGCCATCGGCATCCAGGTTCTGCTGGCTCAGTGCAATCCCTCTGTGAGGGATTCCCTGGCACGTGGAGAGTATTGCAAAAAGGAAGAAGAAAACCTTCTCTTTTATAGTGTGTATGAAGCAATGGCCTTTGCAGAAGAATCTCAGAATCAGAAAGGAGTGTGTATTCCCAATGGTCTAAGCCTTTCCAGTGATTGACTGAGAAAGTAGATGGAAAGAAGAATGATGTCTAGCCAATAGCTTAAGGTTTGAAGTATGTAATACTTTCTAGTTCCACAGTGGAAAATGTTGTACTTGAAAATTTAACCTATGGAGAGATATTATTCCTTTGAAGTTGATGGCTTTTGTAGATACACAAATACAGTAGAGCTTATAGTTAAGAAAATTTTGTGGTTTTAGGCCTTTTTGCAGATATGAGGTATTCTTGAAATTAAATAAATACCTATTGAATTGAACTGTAAAGTAGGCTTCAAACTCAGTTACCATGCTGTTTTAGAAGATAAGCATTTGGACTCTTCCTTCTCCTGGAGGTAAAGCTGACATTGACGTGAGAAGTGCTAGAGGCTACTTGATGTGACTCTTAGGAGAGAATAGAAAGGAGGCAGGGAAATAGTGTTGTACCTGCTCTGATACCAGCAGGTCAGGGGACTTCTGTGGCAAAGGTTTGTTCTTACTTGTACTTCTCCGGTCCCAGTCTTTGCTCCCTATGGCAGTAGGATCTCTGGCTTTTAGTAGGAGAGCAGCATTCCTTTCCTAGGGCTAGGAACTCCACAGGCATAGTCTTATTAGGAATTTGATGGCTGGGTGGGCTGACAGGTGAAATCCTATCAGCCAGCCTCATGTTACTTAGAACATTCTTTGTAATACATTTGATGTTTTTATTCATGCCTCTTTATTTAGAGTAAGTAAGTAAGCAAAGAGCTCTTCTTCATAATCGGCCAAATACTAGGACACCTCCATGTCTTTCCTGTGATCTCAGTCTGTCCCTGTTACTGAGTATTCCTCTACTGTTACCTCTGTTGTAGCTTTCGTTCATTTAGTGTTTCCCACAGAATCTGTCTTATACTGCTACACATTACCTGCTACAAGATTGTCAGGTAAAGGGCAGAATGCTGACTACACAATTCTAGACAGCATTTTAAATGAGCTTGAGGCTACTGTAAGGATGGATTGAAAAGAAGAAATGATTGACGGTTTCCCTTAAGAATTTGTTTACTGGGCAGCCCCGGTGGTGCAGCAGTTTGGCGCCACCTGCAGCCCGGGGTGTGATCCTGGAGACCCTGGATCGAGTCCCACGTCAGGCTCCCCGCGTGGCGCCTGCTTCTCCCTCTGCCTGTGTCTGCCTCTCTGTCTCTATGAGTAAATAAATAAAAATCTTAAAAAAATAAAAAATAAAAAACAAACAAAAAAAGAATTTGTTTACTTAGCAGTGAATTTTTTTTTCCTTTCCATGGCATTTTAGCAAGGGTCCACTGGGGATTGACAGTCTTTCTCAAATAGAAGCTACTATTCATCTTTATTCAGTTCCTTTTGAAAAGCAAGAATGTCCCACATTAAAAGCATATTCTGTATGTGGACCTTGATAGTCAAGAAAAAAAAAAACAAGTTTTCCAAAGTTAGGACTAGGAGAATAATTTTTTTTTTGAGAATAATTTTTCAAGATTGAAACATTTACCCACACTATTTAAAGCAAGCAAAATAATAATTACAGAAATGTGAATAATTTTTTAACTTGTTACTACATTCTAAACAACTTAAATATTTATGAGAAGCAAACCCTATCTGTTGGGCATCTATTGGAGTTGGACACTTTTAAATATATTTAACTTTCTTTTTGGTTCCAAAACCTTCAAGTGTTGCTTTTCTACTGGTAGAACTCTGTCCATCTGTTTACATGGAAAATGCCTTTCTATTAAAACAAAGCAGTTTCTCAATAGAAAAGTGGATTTCTGTCTTGAAGGTGATTGACTTCATGATTAAGTATAATAGTACTAAATTTTGACATCCTTTTAGAATTTAAATCTAGAATTTCAGAAATATTAGCTGCTGTTTGTATTTGTGGGTTTTTTTCCTTTTGTTTTTTAGCCACTATTTGCCCTTTCTATCCAATTTTAGGAATAGTAATAGTACAATTATAGTGTCTTGGTTAGTTATTTATTTTTAATCCCTCTTATCCACCCCCTCACCCTCCAGGTTTGAATCCAGATGTCGAATGCCATGTGAGAAAGTAAATGAGTACATGTTAAAGATGACCCTATAATTTAGCAAACACTAGCACAGGAAAAAAAAAAAAAGGATCCAAAGAATTTAGAAAATGCCTTAGAATGGAGTAACAGGATCTTCTACCTGACATTTCTGTCCATATATGGATATTAACAATTCTGGAGTTTTATGCAATTAAGCAAATTCTTGAATTATGTTCTGGTTTGTTCCTCTTCTACCCAGACAAACAAACATACAGGAGATTCTGCTTTTGGCAGCCACTTGTAAAAACATTTAAGATTCACTGGAATTTATATCTCACTTCTCTGCTCAGGTTGCGGTCCACCTTTTGTGACACATTGTTGGTTGCTAGTATTTAAAGAAATCAACCTAAAGCCAAAATCTAACTCACCAACAAAACTATTTTCATTTTCTTTCTTGCTCAAGGCTTGGACTTTAGTTCAAAAGCTGATACTTTACACACTTTATTGATACAAAAATATCTTGCTTATGCTACACTTTAGAGTCTAAAGCATTTTCTCATTGCTTATTGACAAATGTATAAAATTCTAAATATCTTAAAATAGTCATTTAATTGAAACATAGTGTATATATTCTTGATGGTTAAAAACTTAGAGCCAGAGACAGAGTATGCTAAATGTGCAGAGTAAGGATAACATTCAAAAGGAATGAAAGGAATATACTGTTGAAAACAACTCTTGGGGATGCCTGGGTGGCTCAGGGCGTGATTCCCGGGTCCCGGGATAGAGTCCCACATTGGGCTTCCTGCACGGAGCCTTCTTTTCTCTCTGCCTTTCTCTCTGTGTCTCTCATGAATAAATAAATAAAATGTTTTAAAAGAAAAAAGAAAAAACCCTCTTTGACCAAAAGAGGGATATAAAGGAGAGGACTAAGTTGAACAGGATACAATCCCTTTTTAGCCCCATGTAGCAGTAGGGAGATCAGAAATAGGAGCCACACCTTAGTTTGACAGCAGGGTCAGAACTGATTTTGGTTTCTAGAAAGGGAGGGTGGATTCACCAAAGATGAAAGAGCTGAGGAGCATGTGGAACCCCAGAGTTGGGGCAAAGGCCCGGTTGACCTAATCTGGAGCATAGACTGAGTAACTGTAGCCTCTGATGGTGGTAAAAGGGACAAATGTCTAGTTGACAATTATTACTATTTTTTTTTAGTGGAACCAAAGGAAAATCTGGATAGTCCAACTTAGCTTTTAAACAGTAGTAGTCATTGAAGCCAGAATTTGTTGGTAAATTTATAGTATGATAAATGGTGATCTTTAAACATGTATCAAGATATTAGATGAGTTCATTAGACTATTCTAATGCTAATGAACATGTTTTAACAGGAACAGTTATTCTCTGCAGGTGTATACTTAAATAGTTTGTCACTGAAGAACAAACACATTGTCTGGGTGTTAGCCCTGATCTTATTATAAAAATGAAAAAAAGGCAGTGAATTTCTTGGGAACTAAAATTGAGTCTAGAAGTTACAATGATAAATTTCAGCTCTATGGTCTTTGTTACTGTTCTTAATGAATTGTTTTCCTCTATATATTGCTATAGATGAGCTATAGGATCTTTTTTGCACCAGTGTAGATAATACCTCACTACTTACTGAGGACTCGTGCAGGGGTCTAGAGTCCTGGGCCAGGTGCTGGGACTATGGTACCAAATCTAGTAGATGGGCCATATGATAACTCTCCTAGGTAACACCGGGGCACTTGGAGGAGCTTTCTGGAGGAGCCAAGCTGAGCCTGGACCGAGGTCTGAACAGGAGACAGGCAACTGAGGCAAACAAGGAGGCATGGATGCCCCTGATCTATTTAGGGAATGATTCTACAGTGAGATCGCAAAAACCCAGTCAACAGAGTTTAGGCTTTTTGTTTAGTTTTTCTGTTCTTTGATGTTTTTCTTTTCTCCCCCTGTTTTCTTTATCTATTCTAGTGATGCCTTAATTTGAAGCTGGGTTTTAAAAACTGGAAGGAGGAGGAAATTAGATCTAGGAACCTTTTCAGTTTTGAACTAACTTGGCTTTTTTCCCCTTTTGTATTAAGATTTTATTAGATAATCAAGATTGGAATCATCAAGTGTTAATACAAAAATGAAAAGTAGAATGGGGGTCTCCTGGGTAGCTTAGTCAAGTGTCTGCCTTCGGCTCAGGTCATGATCTCAGGGTCCTGGGATCAATTCCCCTGTCAGGCTCCCTGCTCAGTGGGAAGCCAGCTTCTCCCTCTGCCCCTCCCCCTGCTTGTGCTCTCTCTTTGAAATAAAATCTTAAAAAAAAAAAAAAAGAAAAATATAATGAAACAAGCCAAAATAATAAACCTACTGCTTTGTTATCATAGGCTATTATTAGAATAATTATTGAAATACTGTAAGTTAAAGGTACATTTTAGTTGTGTGTGTGTGTGTGTGTGTGTGTGTGTGTGTTAACATTAGTAACTCTCGGGAAGGAGAATTTAGATTTGGGAGTAGGGGAAGATTTATTTTTATAAGGTCATTTTTATCCTGACAAGGACTATTGTTTTTAAAAGTGTTTTGCACCTATTTTTTAAGTAAACATGTTAAATACAGTTGGGAAAGTTAAATAAGCAATATACTAACTAGTGGATTTTTTTGGTGTGTATTCTATTTTTCTCTTAGTGACATAAAAGAAGGAGGAGAAATTGAATTGTGAAAACTAGAATAATGAAGGACACTAAATGCCCTTATTTAAGATACCATGTTTGCAAGTCTACACTGGAACCTTGTACCTTTCTTGGACTTGAATTATGGCTCTGAAAAAGGCCAAATAATTATAATCTTATTTTGAAATACCAATGACAGAATTTCTAACTGAAGGTTTTTTAGTTGGCAGATAGACAAGCAGCCTTAGCCAGAAGAGATTTTTAACGGCAGCTTTAATAAACTTACTTTAGGGAAGTTCTCTCCCCCTCTTTCCCATCCCCTAACCCTAAAATAATAAAACTGGGAATCAAAAAGCTCCTGTCTTTTTCATTCAAATCAGGTGGGAAATTACTGTTTAAGTTCTGATGCTACTATGATTTCTCAAAAATTGGTGGGAACAAATCAATTTATATGAAATGCTATCCTTTTTGTCTCTGCAATTTTATATACAAAACAAGACATTATCAGGTGACAGGTGAATGAACATAAAGTCTCAGTTCTGTGTACTCAGTATACTGCCCTGTTTTATCAATTATTCACAGCTAATGACTTTTAGGAACATATTTTATACCACATATATCTTTTTTAATTAAAGCAAGTGCCTTGATGCCATTCCATATAAATCAGGCTTAACCCTTTATGGGATGAGGATGAGTTGATGGATTGCAGCTTGTTGCAGGAGAGGGGGGAGTAGTTGGTTAATAGGTCTTTTTCTTCTGGAAGGATATGTTCGTGTTGTTTATTATGTAAGATCCAACATGTGTTGAGATCTAGAGTTGTCATTTTAATTTCTGCTAATAAATTGTTATGCTAATAAAATATTGCTCTGTGTCTAAATTATTTAAGTGCAACTAAGAAACACATTCAGGTCACCAGTAAGCTTTGAAATACCATCTCTTTATATTTGCAGAGTGATTCAGTTATTAATTTTTCCCAACTATAACAAGAGGATCTGTCCTTCTAGAAAGACATAATGCACAAAGACACATTTCTTTCCTTTTTGCTTTGTGGTTCTGAGTAAATACATTAACCCTTTGGGGACTCATCAGTGAAGAGGAGAGGAGCATTAGATTGTTTGAGGACCTTTCCAGTTCTCATGTTGCACGACTACTATTCTATACCATGTTGGAATCAGAAACCCCCAAACTGTCTAATGATTTACTACTCCTAACTCTGAATTTTGATAAGTGAATTTTGAGCCACTTTTCCCCCATGAATAGGTTGAGGCTACCTACCTGATATACAGAATGAAGGAGTTGGACTGAATGGTCTTCTAAGGGCCTTTCCAATTTTACCATCCTATATACTCCCCAGGCCTTTCCAATTTTACCATCCTATATACTCCCCCAGGGCCTTTCCAATTTTATCATCCTATATACTCCCCCTGTGTGCACGCGGCACCTGGGATCCAGAGCTTTGTGATGTGCCTCACAGTCTCTGGCATCTCTCCAGCTACCTTGGAAGGCTCTGCTTCCCCACCTGTCCTTTCAGTGTTTGTGTCTTTGGCCTCTTTTCTCCTCAGCATCATTGCTTAAGTTTTGAATTTTCAGATCTGATTGAGACTGATGAAAGTATGGCTCTTCTTAGAGAAATGCCACATGTGCATGTATATACACACGATTATAAAAAAGGCTGGTTCATGGACCCCCGTGTCATGAATGCTTCGCATATAAGCTCTCTCTAGATGACTACATCCACATCTATGGCTTCAATTGCTTTATTATCGGTGTGCTGATGGCAGCCAAACATTTCTAGTCTTTCTAGAACACCAGTCAGTGTATCTGTCTATATATAAATCTTCAGAGCTGTCCAATAACAGGTGGATGCCCAGAGGCACCTCACATGCAACACATCCTCAAACTCATCTTCTCTTTCTCCGTTAACCTGTCTTGATCATGGCATGACCCAGCAACTCAAGCCAGAAACCTAGAAAATTTTAGAATATTCCTCTTCAACTCCATCACTAAGTCCATCTACCTGGTAAGAGTCTGAAATCTAACATCTCTTTCTTGCCCTCAATGTTCATTTATCTTCAGGACAATTCCACAGCCTTACTAGTTAATCTATTTCTCTATAACCCAGCCTCCACACTATCAATTATTTTCTTAAAGAAAAAAAAAAAAAACCTTTGTTACTTCTAAGTGGTTCCCCAGTGTTTTCAGAGTAAGTTCAAAATCAATACTATAGACAACAAGACCTTAAAAACTCTGGCCTTGCTTACATCTTTAACCTTTTGTCCTATCACACATCCCTTTGCTCAACCTTGGATGATCCCAAATGGGCCATTTAAAAATATCCCAGGCCTTTATATATATATATCCTGTTCCTTCTGCCAGGGGTAGCCTTCCAGCCCTGTATGTGTAACTTTTTACTCCTCTTCCAAATACTTCTTACTAAATGTCCCTTTGCTCTTGCAATATTTCCTATTGAATTCCTCTTCTCATGCAAAGTCTCGTTTGGACTTCATCTCTCCATATTCTCTAAAATGGCATTTACCACTCTATTATTTTTTCCTTTCTAACTCACCTACTAACTGGACTCGCTGAAGATGGGCCCCTGTATTTCATCCTTAAAACCTCTATGGCCGGCAGTGGGTATAAGGTCCAAGCATGGATATTTTTGGTGGATAGTTAGTCCTCTAACATTGGTTCATCTGCAGAGCATGTCTATCTGTCCAGGGTCAATTACATGGCCTGTGGTTATCAATAGGTTGGAAAAATTCCCCGGTGGAGGGATAGGTGTGTAATGGGGTAGATTAGATAGTCCAAGCTATGATTATTTCTTAGTTGCCTGAACAAGCCTCACATCCTGTCTTTTTTATCTTTCCTTGTTTTCCTTTTCAATCTCTACCATGTCAGAGAAATTACACGCGGCTGCTTCTAAGGGTTCTGGAGTTGGCTAAGTGGTCTCCATTATATAGTCTCTCTCTGCCCTCTGGTGGCCAGAATATTCTACCACATTCCACTTCAAAGAACTATGGCTTCTGGTAGCCTGAACAATTCTTTAATTGGTATGCAACTTTGGAATTCATTATCTGAGCCCATTCGTCCTTTTGCATTACACTTTTCTGGAAAGATTGAATGACAAGGAGTAAAATGGTGGTTGGCATGTAATAGGCAACAATTCTCAGCTTTCTTCTTTTTTAATGAAAGAGCCCATCTTAAGAACAGGGCAAAGAAAACTTGAGTTTTATCTAATAATCAGGCTTGCTGGTTCTGGAACACTAAACCCCAAAATCAGTTAGTGAAAGGAAAGTCTGGTAAGGGAGGGCCCTGCCTTTAGATAGTACTTGTAAAGTTCCAAATAAGGATGGATAGTAATGACATAACATTTGTAGAATACTGCTCATTGCCAGATACACTTTCTTTTCCTCATAATAGCTCAATTGAGGTAGATGCCTAGTTCCAGAATGTTGGCCTACCAAGTGAATTGGTCAACTGGGGCGAAATAAATCCTCAAGTGGGGAAGGAGGGACCAGAGAGTCAGGGAGAAGCTATACAGGCCTGATGAAACAGCTGATTCAGAAGGGATAATAGCAACCTCTTTTAGTTTAAAAAACAAAATATCAAACAAAACCATAATGTACCAACAGAATCAAAGTAAAACGTTTAGCCAATGTAAACCAGACTGCAGAAGCTCTCTCTTTTGGCTATAATTTCCACCTACAAGGGTTTAATTCATTATGATATATTAAATGAATCAAGAACGTGGTATTTTTTTAAAGCAAGTTTAAGCACATATTTACTGAGTACTACTATGTGCAAGGCACTTAAAGCTTTCGCCCCCAAAGTCTTATGTGTGTAAATCCTGCAGTGACTTTATGTGGAAGGAAATAGGCTTAACTTTATATATTGGAACTATTCACTATCAAAAAACAGATGATAATCTGGACTGGAATACTATTTGAGGCAATAATATCCATGGAAAATTTTTGCAAATTCTTTCAAATAGAGGACAGCCTTACCCTATCTTCAAGTCATTTTCTAATAGAATCAGTGCTTCATGCAGTTTTATAAAAAGGTGGCATTGATGCATTATATGTATATATCAATTTATACACAAATGTTTATTGAAGTGACTGTGATGGGCCCAGCACAGTGCTAGGCACCATTAAGGTTATAACAAAAGGTCCCTGCTTCCATGGAGTTTACAGTCTAGTCCAAGAGCCACGAAACATTGATAAAAAAATATTTTTTTCATTGATAAAAATTGGTAGAGACTGTAAGTGCCAAGGAGTTGAGAAAAGGGTAAAACAGGTACTGAATCTTCAAAAAAGGCTACAAGAGAGAACTCCAGTTCTTGAAGGGGTTTTTGTGGAGGACCTATATTTGTAGAGAGCAGGGGGAGGCATTCAAGTGAAATCATGCCAGCACACGTGGGTACAGAGTGAAAGAAAACCGGGGGCAGTGCCCACACTGAATTGTACTGAGCAAGCAAGCTGGAAATGTAGGTTGTAGCCAACTCTAGAGGGTGCTAAAACTCAACTGAATAATTAGTCTTGTATTTATTTATTTATTTATTTATTTTAGGCATTTGAGAATTACTACAGACACTCAGGCAGGGGAAATGGCAGGATGTCAATAGATCTAACATTATGTGCCAAACAGAAGAAAAGTGAAGAAAGGAATTTGAAATTGTGTCAGTAATCCTGACACAAAACGATGACACAGCAATGTAGTGAAGTTGCTGTCAATAAGTGGAACCACAGGACTTAGCTAGAAGACACTATTTTCTTTTCTGAAGTGTTAGGAATTTAAAATATGTGTAGTACTTTTAATTAAAATTATACTTGTTAAAAGGAAAAATATACAAAATAAGGTTTCAAAAATCCATTTAAACATGCTTTTTGTGATTGTTGTTTTGTTCAACATGGAAGCCGTACTTTTTTTTTTTTTTTTTAGATTTTATTTATTCATGAGAGACAGAGAGAGGGAGAGAGGCAGAGACACAGGCAGAGGGAGAAGCAGGCTCCATGCAGGGAGCCCGACGTGGGACTTGATCCTGGGTCTCCAGGATCACGACCTGGGCCAAAGGCGGCGCTAAACCACTGAGCCACCCGGGCTGTCCCATACATTCTATGATATATCTGCCTTATATATGTTTTGATTAAATGATTACAGAAAGAAAAATAACTGAATTGCAATGGGTTCCTGAAGTAACCACAAAATTAACCTGTATGGAAGGAAAAACTATACTACAACACTGACAGGTATTTGTATGTATCTTCTAAAAATGAAAGAGACACCTATCTTCCATATTAGGAACAGATACTAGGGTTATAAAGGATATTAAGGATGACTTCTTCATAGGAGAAAAACTTTAATATAAATCTGATTATAAATTTATGTAGTTCTAAATAACTTAAAATCAACTCTGCTCTTGCAGACGTCTATGCAGAACAAACATAAAGGAATTAAAGGTGAAGTGATTTTAACAAAGGCAAACAGTGTGCCTTCATCTTAACCACAAAATCTGGGCTGGATTATCCACAGGTGTGGAGAGCAGCGTGAATAATCCAAACAGGAACCAATCCAAATCCTGTCACACGTGTCCTCTCTCCCACAAACTTCCCTCTCACCTTGTCTGGAAAGTCAGAGAGGTACACAAAACTGTATGTTCTCTCCCAGGATTCTGATATACAAGGCCCCCCACATTGTATCATACCTTCTCCTTAATTCTCAAATTCTCCTGTGCCCCAGCTCCCTCTGGGTAACAAGCCTCAAGCATTACGAGATGTGTTAATATGCTCGGTGGCTCCTGTCAATGCTTTGGGCACAGACAGATGTACCTCTACTCACTACTTGGTTAGCTGGTGGGGCATTCAAGAGAAAAGCTAAGAAGATTCTAGAGTTACCAAATCAGTAGAAAGGAGTTAGTGGATCCGGAATAAGAACAGCTAATGCTCCCCTCTTTTTCTTTTGCTAGTGAGTGTGAGTATTCAGTTGGTTTGCTGAAGGGAGAAGTACTAGAATCCAGCTAGACCAGTGGTTCTCAAAGTAGGGATCCTGGACCACATTAGCATCAGCATGACCTGGGAACTGGTTAGAAATGCAAATTTTGGGGCCCCATCTAAGACCCACTGAATCAGAAGACTGGAGGTAGAGCCCAGCAATCTGGGTTTTAGCAAACCTTCCAAGTGAGCTAACATTTGGAAACCACTGAGCTCCAGACCCACAGTGTGCTTGATTTTCCTGTGGTCAGCACAGTAATTCCCAAACTTTTCTGCACATTGGAATCACCTGGGGAGTTTTACAAACTACTAAGGCTTGTGACCCAGCTCCATAGATTGTGATTTCATTGGTCTGGGATAAGGCCTGTGCTTTGGAAATTTTTTAAAGATCCTCAAGAGATCCTTAGGTGCAGACAACTTTGGGAACCACTTGATTAATCAAAAGATAACACACATTAGTCAAATTTCATTTCCAGATTCCACTCAAGGAAGTTTCCTGATTATTTCAGAGGACTGGAATGTTGTCATTATAATATTGCTTACATTTTAAGTTCAATAGCCTATCTTAAAAAAAAAAACTTTATTCTCATAAACTACATTTTCAAAATGAATAGAGGTAGGAAATGCCTATGTTATTTTGTTTCAAGGAAATCTGCAATTTTGGAGTCAACAAGAGTTTGTGTCATTTTTCTCATTAAGTATTCATCAATACCATTCAGCTGTCCAAAAATGGCATCAGGAACCCCTATGCAAGTGGAAAGGAACTGTCTAAGTTTCTGTACACTTGAGATGGCCTCTGTGATGGTGATTTTTGGCTGCTGTGCTAAAGATGCCTCCTCTTCCTCTTCACTTCCGGCTTCATCTGTATTTTCACCAACCTCCATGCCCGGGATGACCTCTGTGTCTATCAGCTCTTGCGAGATGATGAGGTCATCATCTGCAGTGATAAAGTCCTGGACATTGACTTCATTGGGGACACAAGTGGCAATAGCCACGGAGTGCCACAACTTCTCAATGGCTACCTCTGGTTCACTGACTGCTGCTTCTGTGTCAGAATCCGTCAGTTCCATAGGGATGATGCCTGCCTTCTGCCAGCACCTCACCACCGTGGACTGCTTGACTGACCACCATGCTGCAGCAATCATGTCAATGGCCTGCCTAATGTCCACCTCTTCGTGATCTTCACTGCTGCGGAGCTTGAGGAGGATCTGTTTCAGGAGGTGGCTTCGGTACAGCACTTTCGTGGTGTGAATTATGCCGAGATTCAGTGGCTGCAGGACGGCAGTACAGTTAGAGGGCAGGTAGCCCACCTGAATCCTTTCCAAGCGGGGCAGCATGTTGTGAGCAGAGCAGTTGTCGATGAGCAGGAGGATGCGGCGCTCTGCCTGCTTCATCCTGGCATCCACTTGCATCAGCCACTCATTGAACAGATCCTGCGTCATCCATGCCCACTGGTTGGCTCGATAATCACATGGGAGGGAATGGACGTTCCTGAGACAGTGTGGGTTGGCTGACCTACCAACAATCAATGGTCTCATTTTTTCAGTCCCGGAAGCATTGCAACAAAAGAGTGCTGTCAACCGCTGCTTTGCTTTCTTGCCTCCTCTACAATGGTCCCCTTTAGCAGCAAGCGTGTGCTGGGGAAGCAACTGGAAAAACACTCCTGTCTCGTCAGCATTAAAGATATCATCTGGGCTGTAGTCTGCAATCAGTTTTATAATTTCCCCTGCATGCCACTCATTAACCTTATCTATTCCTAGACCATTCATTAATCTGTCACTATCCTCTCTACAGACTGCTTTCAAAGCAATTCCGTGGCGGTCCCTAAATCTGTTCAGCCAGCCCACACTTGCTTGGAAATTGTCATAGCCAAGCATGTTGGCCAAGTTTAGTGCTTTTTTCCGAATGACAGAACCAGTCACAAGAATGTTTTTGGCATGGATTTCCTGAAACCAAGCAAAAACAGCCTTATCAATGTCGTCATAGAGAGCGTTCCTCATCCTTTTCCGCTGGGGTCCTACAGATGCCTCCCGTACCTTCTCTTCAAATTTGGCCCTATCCTTTAAGAACGTCGACAAAGTAGAAGGAGTGATACCGAATTCTTTTGCCACATCACCTTTCCTCTTTCCTGAGTCTACAGCTTCCACAACTTTCATTTTCTCCTCCAGGGAGAACTGCCGACGTTTCTTGTTCCCCTTGTTTGCCATATTCACAGAATGAGTGCTGGGTTACAACTACCAGGGCTGAGTGTGTTCCTCCTCTTGGCTTGTTTTGCTGCAAGTGTAGAAAACTGAGGAGACAAAATGTGGCGTACGTGTCAGGAACCAAAGATAATGAATTCCCCCTAAAAGATGTCAGATTTTTCAAAATCCTACTAGGAAATGATAACATAAGGCCAAAGCCAAGAGAAAATAGGATTTATACAACTGACTTTTTGTAAGGATTACTTACATAGGCTCAAGGAGTGTTTGAAATAGAAGAGATCTTACAGAGGATCTAGTTCACTTAAACTTTTGGAGCTTCTATAAAAATAATGTCAGTTCTATTGTGGGAATAGATTGAAATGATATATGGTAAAAGAGGTTCACAAACAGCAGTGCACTGTATAAATTCAAGGTGTTATTACCTGGGTCATTTTATAACAGAAACTGAGGCTCAGAGAAGGGACTTACTCGAGTTCATACAGCTCAGATTTCGTGACTCAATTAGTGCCATTTCTGCAATTCCATAATCCTGCTGGATATTCCACCCAAATCAGATCTTCAAAGCTCTATCACTATTTGGCTTGGATGGATTTTCAGTGAGGGAATATTTCTGGTAGCCACACATTCATTTAGTGAATATTTATAGGTGCCAAGTGGTAAGGATACAGTGATGAACAACACAGTCAAGGTCCCTGCCCTTATGAAACATACAATATGTTGGAGTAAGATAAACAAAAGAAGAACAGATAAATAATTATAGAGTGTTATATGACCATGAAGGAAGTAAACATAATCAGGCAGTAGCAGTTTTGGTAACTGCCTGTGAAGACATTTTATCATGAGAGTCCTCAAAGGACAAGAGAAGCTGCTGTGACTGCCCCTTTGCAAGGGCTGACTCCTACCACCACCTCCACACAAGTATCTATCCATTCTTGGCATCCCCTATGTGCAAAGCACTGTGCTCGATGCCAGCCAACCAAAGACGGAAGGAGCATACTGCTCACCATTGAGAAGCCTATCCGGGAAGCAGGGAAGATGAACACTGGAGTGCATGAAAACTATAAGAGGTTACAGAGTACTTATGAACTAGAATACGGAAATGAGGATGATCAACTGGGTGGAACACGGATGGGTAGTGTGCCTCAAAGAAGAAATGATATTGATGTCTGACCTTAAAGTATAAACAAGTGGGAGTTCATGTGATAGAAGGAAATATGTGTAAAGGCAACAAAGTAGTATAGAAAACAAGATGGCATGGTCCGGGAAAAAAGTCTTTGGAGAAGAAAACAAGAGCCAGATCATAGAAATTCTAGCTTGATCCTGGGACAATAGAAGCCATAGAGGTCTGTTTATTTAAATGATGCCATCAGGTTTGCACTTTAGAAGAGTCCTTTGGTTGCAAAATGGAGAACCTAATGGGTAAAATCCATTTTCCTACAAGGTGGCCCTAAATAAAGGCAAGCTAGGTTAGTAGGCCACAGACAGTTGGGATACGGTACTTTGAATGCAAAGGGAAGCTACTGAAGTATTTTAAGGAAGAAGAAAGACAACTACTAGGTAAAGAATGGAATTGAGAGAAATAGCAGGGGACTAGTTGGGAGGCTGCTACAGGAGTCCAGATGTGCGATAATGGTGGCTTGGACTACAGTAATCGTGGATATGGTAAGCAGCAGTCGGTTTGGGACTACGTTTTTGCAGATCTTGCTAATGGACTAGATGTCAACTGCAAGAGGAGTTCAGGATAACTCCCAGATTTCTGGCCAGAGCACTGAGCCATCAATGGATGATCGTGCCATTTTTACAGAGATTGGGAACCAACTGAAGGGATGGAAACCAGTTATTGAAGATCTACTTCGTAATCAGAATTTGTTACTTTACATGCTTTAATACAGCTGACACAATGGCAGGACTTGGATTTTCAAATCCAGGGAGACTCTGCACAAAGCCGGTGTTCTGAACATAAGAGTACTACACACCTTGTTCTGGGAACTACCAATATGGAGAGGTGACCTGAGAAGAGAATGACGCAAGGGCCAGGCCAGCGTCTGGTAGGTCAAGCGAAGTCCGAATTTTATCCTAAGTGAATGAAAAGACACTGGAAGGTTTTGAGCAGGGACTGACTGAATCAGTTACGGCGCAAAAAAAAGATGCAAAAAGATCAATCGGCCTGTTGCGTGGAGAATGGGCTGCAGAGCGCCAAGAGGGGAGGTGGGAAGAAACTGCATGGATCCAGGCGGGGGGATAGTGGGGACTCGGAGACTGGGGACAGTGGTCCAAGGAGGAAAGTATGCAGGTTGGAAATACACTTGCAAGAGAGTGGGGGTGGGGTGGGGTCGTGCAAGGACTTGTCCAAACGTAGAACAGTCTGTGACGCTGGCGGGAACGACGTACAGCATCCTTGTCTGATTGCAGAGCCTCTGCACTTGGTCACTCGGCGCAGTTCCAATCACTCGAGGAACTCCCTACCTAAGTGTGTGTGCGGGACGGTGGGGCGGACGGCTCGATGCGGCACTAAGCTGCGAGAACCGCATCCTGAACGCGCAGGGGGGGGGCAGGCCGGGCGGGGCCGGGGCCGGGGCCGGGGCCGGGCCTCCAACACCGCGCTGACAGGGTGCTGCTGGGGCTCCCCGGGCCCGACGCGGCCCTGAGAGGCGAGGCGGGGCCTCGACCTCCCGCGCTCGGCACAGCCCCGCCCCGCCCCGGTTACCTGAGCGCCCCACGGCAACGCCCGGGGCTAAGCGGCCTGCGCGTCCCACCGCGGGCGGCCGCAGCTTCCTCCTCCTCCCGGAACCTCTAGCCGGAAACAGTCCGTCCGCCTCACCAGCCCCCTTCGGGCGTCTAGGCCGTGCCCGGGGGCCCGGCCCTCCACGGGGCTGGACTGTCGCGCATGCGCCAGGGGACGCACGCAGTCACGCGCGGCCGGCCGCTTCCGGTGCGCCGCGAGGGCCGCCGGGAAGGGTCTCCCTGGCGATCCGAGGTGTGCTGCCGCCGCTGCTGCCGCCGCCGCCGCCGCCGCCGCCGCCGCCGAACCGGTGCTGCGGGGACGCCCGTGGTCCTGCCGTCTCCCTCGGGCTCCCCGGGGCTCGACCCCCGGGGCCCTCGGCAGGCGTCGGCGAAGAGCCTGCGGGGCGGTCCCGTGCTCCCACACGCGCCCTCCGCGACCCCACATCGCGACTCCGACGAGGGGGAGCGAGAGGAGCTGTCGCGACTCCGCGCCGTGTGTCGCCGGGCGGGGCCGCGGGGCCGGGGCTCCTCCAGCCCCCGGGATGCGCGCGCGAGCCCTCGCCTCCACTTCCTTGTTGCCGCTGTCACGACCGGAGCCGCCTCTCGCCGGCAGCGGGGAGCGCGAGCGCGCCGGCCAGCCCCCTCGTCCAGCCCCCGGGCCGGGCGCGTCCGGGAATGTGAGCCGCGCGGCTCGCACGCTCCTCCGGGTAAGGCCCGCCCCCGAGCGCCGCGCTGCACGGTGCCGCCGGCCTGCTGGGCGACCTCGGGCGGCTGCCGCGGCGCTCCGAGCCCCGTGCTGTCGCCCCTGCCACAGACCGGAGCAGTCCGCCCTAGTCGGCTCCTCCCGCGTTCGGTACGTGCGGGACACGCGGGACACGCGGGACACGCGGGACCCGGAGAGCGAAAGGAGCTAGCCCAGAGGCAAGCCGCGGGCCCGGCCGGCCGGACTGTCAAAGGCCACCTCCTGAGGTTTGGAGCAGCACCTGCTGGAACAGCGGAAGTGTCTCCGATTCCGTGTACTGCCCGTAATCCTGTTTTACAGATGAGAAAACCGAGGCCGAGAGCAAATAGGTTGCTCAAGGTCATAGAGCTCTGTGTGGGTGTTCTAGAAACGTGCAACTTAAATCCTCGCCTTTTGCCTTTCAAAGCCCTTGGTTTCGACCTTTGTATTGTTCTGCCTTCTTGGGCATTGCTGTACTGAGGCCGAGGGCTTGAAAAATCACCTCATAACCAGGCTGAAAATGGGGGTAGTCAAACAAGCAGAAATCCAGAGTGGTCCCTTCCTGCCCCCCACCCCAAGGCGGTTGTAATGACCACGTTTCCTGAATTATTTTGCTCTGGGTGGTAAAACCGATATGTCATCCTTTACAGATGCGCTCCTGCAGTTAACTGCTTCCCTGCAAGACTGTTAAGGGCAGAGAAAAAAAAGCACAGATCCCGCATAGCCTTGATTTGAACTCTCGCCTTCCCCTGTGAAGGCACTGGCCTATGGCTTGCCCAACCAAGTTGTGGACTATGTTCTCTTCTTGGGTTGCACCCTGGCGGAATGCAGGATTTATTCGACTTCAGTGGGAAGGAAAATCATTAAGAGATGGCGCAGAACAAGAAAGAACCTTAGGAATAACGTGTTTTTGACTGGGAGAGGCCTTTAAAACTGTAGGTCACGTTATTGTTTGTCTGCATTTGCCAGGGGAGAGTTTTTGGCTTTCCCAACATTCTCAGAGGTATTCTTGCCTCCCCCAGATTTAGGAGCTACTGATTTCAGCCTTTTTGGTCTCACATGAGGAACAACTGAAATTCAGGGTGGAATGTAGACATGTCTGAGATCACATGGTCAGAGTTGAGCCTTGGAGCCGGGTCTCCTGAGGTATCAAGCAGTGCTCTTTTTCTCATTTTACCTTACCAGGTACCTCATTTGCAGAGTGAGGTTTAAATGAGGTGTGAGTGGGTTTGTAATACACAGATCTATCCTGTGTTTATTGCCGCAACTCCCGTCTTTCCAGAATCCTAAGTTCTCTTCTGACCGATCTTAAGAGCGACTGCAGTGTATCATTTGTCTCATAAAATTGAAGTGGTTTCTGGAAACCTTTCTCCCTTCAAGGATTGAGTCTTTTGGGTAAAACCCCAACTAAGAATGTGGCCACAAATAGACTGTTCTTGAACTAGTCATTCAGGGTTTTTTTGTGTGTGTGCCTTCCTTTTCCTAGGAAAAGCTCTTATTAGATTTTCTGTTTCTGAAGCCAGAGAACCAACTGAATGCTGGTCTGTCAGATTACTGTTTAGACCTAAGCTGTCCAGTACCATTATCACTAGTCATATGTGGCTAATTTAAATTAATTACGATTAAAACAATTCGGTTTCTCAATCACGCTAACCACATTTCAGGTGTTTAATAGCTGTATTGGAGAACGCAGATACAGAACATTTCCATCATTGCAGAAAGTTTATTGAACAGTGCTGGTTTAGAGGGTTGCCAGTGGAAATAGGGAGCAGTGTAGTGTAACAAAAGAAGGCTTAGAGAGTTGGCTTTTTGAATTAAAAAAAAAAAAAATCTTGTCTTTCAAGTCCCTGTTTGGGTGTGGTGGCCTTAGGCGGGTCATTAAGCACCTCAGCCATAAGTTATTAATCTTTACTGGTGAACCCTTTCTTTTGCGTAGCACTTGACTGTTCTCAAATAGAGTTATATCTATAATATCTTTTGAGCCTTGTCACCATAAATCTGTACTAAGATGGGTGAGATACCTATCTTTTTATATCTGAAAAAATTGAACCTGAAATAGCTAAAGGACCTGTTCAAAGTCACACAAGCTGGCAGGGTGTAAAGAAATGTCTTACATATAGGCACTTCATATCTTATGAATAACCGAATGAATCAATGAAGCAGTTTGCTTAAGGTAATTAAACATGAGAGAAGGTCCAGAACTTCTGACTACTGGCCAAGTTTATTCCTTTCACCCGTTACCATATGGAATTCTTGTACTGTGGGCCTAATCTTTGAGTTGAAGAATTACTATATCTCATGAGTGAATATAAGCAAATGAGCTGTCAAAGCTAGTGATCCTAAATTTGCCTGGTCAGAGAAATCACCTGAGGTACTTAAGCATATAGAGTTCCATACCCTCTGGAGATTTCTGATTCAGAAGAGCTGAGGTGGGAACCCTGGGTTCTGTATGTTTCTTAAGTACTCCCAGTGCTTTTTAGGATCTGCTGAGTTTGGGAGATGACAACCTTGAGGCCCCAGCAGGGATAGGGGATCATTGGATCAAGTGGCTGCCACCTTTAGGATAAATTCTTGAAACCTGTTTGTATTTGACTTTTCCTCTAGCCATGGATGCATCATATGATGGTACTGAGGTAACTGTCGTGATGGAGGAAATTGAGGAAGCCTACTGTTATACCTCCCCTGGGCCACCCAAGAAGAAGAAAAAGTATAAAATACATGGAGAAAAGGCCAAGAAACCCAGGTTAGCCAACACCTTTTGGTAGCTGACATTTATAAACACAAGCTGCTTGGAGAACTGTGTTGGGGAAGACTTTAGGCTGTGTCTGGATTCGCCGAGGGTGCCGTGTCTGTTGTTGAAGTCTCTGGATGGGCATTGGTGTTGTGGGGAGAGGGAGATGGGGAATAGGAAGTGGTTGATTGATACCATCAGTTGCCATTCCTGGCCGGATCTTGATCATGTTTTCAGGCTCTCATAGGAAATTGTACAATACAAATGGTGGGAGCTGTGTACAAATGAAGTATGTTATTTATTATTAACATTGTCAACATTTAAGGATGGAAAATAGAGAATTAATGAAAGTACAGCGTTATGAGTAGTACCAATGATATCTGTAAAGATTATCCATGTTATAGCTCTAATCTCCCTCTTAACTGGACACTCCAACTTCTTGCTGAGGTCACCACTTTTGGGTTATTTTGGTAGTTAATTTACTTCTGTTTCTCAGCTCTCGGGAGGTGCTGTTGACCCGTGCGGTGATCAGAGGCTGTGTAGAGGAGTAAAGCGTGTGTGTGTGTGTGGGGGGGGGGGGGGGGCATAACCTGACTGATTAGCTCCACGAGTAACCTTTTCTGATAGTGGGATGACAGGGCACATGTGTATCTGCTCATACTGACCTTTAAAGCCAATCATTCCTGCAGAAAAAGTAGTCCATGGAAAAGTAAATCAGACAAGCTTTTGCTTCCAGGTTTCTAGAGGGAGAAACTTCCTATATACTATCTGGGGCTTTTCTTTGTTTGCTTCAGCCCATATTTAGATAAGTGCTTTGAAATGAAAAGCTAGGTTTTTGCCTCTTCACTCTCAGACCTGACCATTGTACTACTTACTGGTTGAATGAAGGAAAATCTTAAGAAATCCTTGTTTCCTTTAGGTCGGCTTACCTTCTATACTATTACGACATCTACTTGAAAGTGCAGCAGGAACTCCCCCACCTCCCTCAGTCTGAGATCAATAAGAAGATTAGTGAAAGTTGGAGGCTCCTCAGCGTGGCGGAAAGGAGTTATTACCTGGAGAAAGCCAAACTAGAGAAAGAAGGTTTGGATCCTGTAAGTAATTTTTTTCCCAGCTAATTTCTCCATTGGGTCAGTAGGGAAGGCCTTGGGAAGCCCCCACCCCCTGTTTTCCTTTTTCCTTTTCTCTTCTTGAGAAAACTTTGAGTTGAGTCAGTTTTACCTATCTTAACGGAGTAGCTTATGTAGGGATTTCTCCTGCACCATGAGTTCATGTTATTCATTGAAGGTCATGAGTATGTGTTATACTGATTGGTGTCAGTTTTAAAAATGTAATCAGCAATTGGGCTGGGGAGCTTGGAAGTAGATACAGCTGCCTTGTATAATGTGATGTTCTTCAGTTACCACTGGTGGTTATGCACTATGCCAGAAGCCGAAGATGATGGAGGAGACAGGCTTGAAGTAAAGAATGAATGAGGAGGTGTTCCAGTTTGTCAGCCATTTTGTATTTCTAGTTCATAGTAACATAACACTGACAACTATTAGTACCGCTGTTTTTTTGTTAGACTGAGATTCCTGCAGGAAAAACAACCTTGTTATTGCAAGGTTAACCTTAACTCCTTTTTTCATTTAAAATATTGTTTCTGATTTCTTTTTTTTTTTTTTTAATTTATTTATTTACGATAGTCACAGAGAGAGAGAGGCAGAGATGCAGGCAGAGGGAGAAGCAGGCTCCATGCACCGGGAGCCCGATGTGGGACTCGATCCCGGGTCTCCAGGATCGCGCCCTGGGCCAAAGGCAGGCGCCAAACCGCTGCGCCACCCAGGGATCCCTCTGATTTCTTTTTTGATGATATAGAGCACAGGTTCTTTAGGAATGCAACAGCTATGTTATAGCAGAAGAGGTTGTGTTTTCCCTTAGTGGAGGCCATCTGCCACTGCCATTTAAATGACTTGCCCTTATTGGCTTGGCATTCCTCTTCTGGAAAAGTTTTGTGTTATCTAAAGTCTTGGAGATACCAGTCCATACCCCTTCCTTTAGATGATTTATTTCTCTTTCTTTTTTTTTTTTTTTTAAAGATTTTGTTTATTATTAAGAGAGAGAGAGAGAGAGGCAGAGACACAGGCAGAGGGAGGAGCAGGCTCCCTGCATGGAGCTTGACATGGGACCCGATCCCGGGTCTCCAGGATCAGGCCCTGGGCTGAAGGCAGGCGCTAAACCGCTGAGCCACCCAGGCTGCCCAGATGATTTGTTTCTAAACTGAATCTGGGGGACAGTTTAGAGGGGAGGGGAAGTGAAGTCTAGGAAAAGTGCACGTACTCTCTGGTTTCCCTGTCATAAAGTTAGCAACCTTCTGCCGTGGTACAGGAAAATGTTACATTTTCCCAGAGGGATAACAGTTTTAAAGCTAGACACTAATGTAGGTTAATACTTTTAAGATTTTTTTATATAAATCATCTACAATGATTTTTTTTCTTGTCTGGGACTTTATATCTACTATTATCTCTACTGCTATTATCAAGACATGAATGAATTAGCTCTGATATTTACTAACTATGACCTTGGAAGAATCATTTAACCTTTGAGTCTTCATTTCCTCATCTGAAAGTGGGGAATAATAGTATCTATTCACAATGTTTAAAATAAGGGACCTAGCTGAGCCCTTGGCACATATTGCCTTGGTCAGTAAATATCACTCTTTAGTAGGTTAAGTGTCCAGTGACCATATAATAAGAAAAGGCGTGATTTAATGAGCGTCTGAATATGCCAAGACTGGGTAAGGCTTTAGGTGCCGTGTTTGACCTCTCCCAGATTGCCTGGTATGAAGGTGAGACCCTCTAGCCTGCCTACTTTGGGAGCTTTTCAGAGACCTACTGGCAGCCTGGTTTCTCGGCAGCCCTTCTAGTCTCTTGCTGTACCAGTGGTTCCATGTCATTCAGGCCGCCGTGGTGTCTAGGTGCCTGGATTTGTTGATTAAGTCCAGATCATTCTATGCATTTGCTACCATTTAATCTTGTTCTGACCTGTCTGCTTCAAAGGGTGACTTGAGAATGTCATTTCTCCATTATCTCTCCAGTAAAGGCTCCATAAAGGATTTGGCCTGTCTGCTTTTATGTTTCATCTGAGTGCTTCTTTCAACTTTCATCTCTGAGTGCTTCCTTTGTACCTTAAGTAGTCTCATCGACTTCTTGCTTTTGATGTATTTAAGGATCCTTTTGTAATGGACTTAGTGTTCCTTTTAAAAGATGCATCTGAAATTATTTCCATTTAATTTCAGCTTTCATTTAACTTGACTTTGAACTTTTCTGTTTTCCTTATTGGGTAACTTGCAGCTTAATTTGAAAAAAATAAAAAACAAAAGTACCTTTTCCTTAGCCATGAAAGGTTGCACTTCTAGTACCTGGTTTCCTTGCTCCTTAGAAGACCTGGCTTGGAATCCTAGCTTTACGACTTACTGATTTTGTATTTGGAGAAGGTTTATCTCTCTGAGCTTCAATAGGAACAGTAATATTACCCAACTTAATAGCACTGTTAAGGTCAGGACAGTATTTTCTAAACTTTAAGATCCTAGTCAGTGTTAATATTTGTATCCCCCAGTATATTCAGGTCCTTGTCAGATATCCCCATCCATACATACTTTCTCTCGTGAAGAGATCAGTTCATTTTCTGCTCTGTAAGTCTGGGAGAAACCAGTGTTATCAGAACCCTTGCTTTCTGTCTTGAGGTCCAGTATAGCCTATTGGCTTGTATTTTATGCTTTTGGGGGTTTTACTGAACATTATACATTCTACTACCTTGGAATTCTAAAGTATCAGAGCTGGAAAGGAGCTCATAAATAACTATATTCCGATAGGGCAGCAAGACATAAAAGTGGAAAGTATTTGCTGAAGGCTGTGCAGATTTGGGATTCCAGCTCACAGTTTCGAATGCCGAGATCATTGCCCTTTTCAGAGTCTGATCCCTGTTATGAGCTCCTGTGTGATTGAGCAAGTAAGCTACATGGGCTTAAGTGTGGTTCAGAGGAAGATAGCGTTGCTATTGGCAGAGGCTGACCCTCTCAAAATCTTAGGTCAAGAAAGGAGTCTTTCTGGTCCCTTTTGCAGAAAATAATCCAAAAACTGAAAAATGTAATCATAAATATATGTGCATGTGGTCTTAACTCCATTTATCTCTGCTTGTCTCCCCCTCACCGGTTTCCTGGTCCTCAGAACTCCAAGCTCTCTGCACTGACTGCTGTTGTTCCGGACATCCCAGGTTTCCGCAAGATCCTCCCCCGCTCAGATTATATCATCATCCCCAAGAGCAGCCTGCAGGAGGACCGCAACTGCCCTCAGCTAGAGCTTTGTGTGGCCCAGAACCAGATGTCCCCTAAAGGACCATCGCTTGTGTCCAACACTGCCCCGGAGGCAGTGCCCAGCCATGCGGGCATGGCAGAGCAGTGCCTGGCTGTGGAGGCCCTAGCTGAGGAGGCGGGAGCCCTTGCCCAGCCGGGTGTTGTACAAGAGATCACCACCTCAGAGATCCTCAGCCAGGATGTGCTCCTGGAGGAGGCTTCCCTGGAGGTAGGGGAGAGCCACCAACCATACCAGACAAGCCTGGTAATTGAAGAGACCTTAGTGAATGGCTCACCAGACCTCCCCTCTGGAAGCCTGGCTGTGCCCCACCCCCAGGTTGGGGAGAGCATGTCAGTGGTAACTGTCATGAGGGTAAGTGACTTTGTACTGATGTCTCTTGGTTTATCTGGAACTACTACAAAGGCAGCTAGCACCGTGCAGTGGTGATTAAGAGTACTGGTGTGGACTTCTAGTAGGACTACAGTCCTCTTGAACCTTTTGCCCCTGGGCTTACTTAAAGTTCTCCTCAGTTTCTTAAGCACTCAACCAACTCCTTTTGCCCAGCATAGCCAGGACTTTCTTCACATGAGAGTACATGTAACAGCATTTAAATAATACAGGCTATCCATGAATCAAAGCCAGGATCTCTCAGGCTATTAGGATTTTATGTTCCCTGAAGATTGTGTCAGCAGACACAATGGCACCTTGAACTGTTTAGTAGGAGAATTTCCAAATAGTCTTCCTGGGTGCAGAGTGGGTAGGAATAAGAAAGCTCTCTTCAGGGCAGCCCCGGTGGCACAGCGGTTTAGCGCCGCCTGCAGCCCAGGGCATGATCTGGAGACCCTGGATCGAATCCCACGTCAGGCTCTCTGCATGGAGCCTGCTTCTCCCTCTGCCAGTGTCTCTGTCTCTCTCTCTCTGCAGCTCTATGAATAAATAAATAAAATCTTAAAAAATATAAGAAAGAAAGCTCTCTTCAAGGCCAGGTTGATAAGAACGATAGAAAAAAAAAAAAAAAAAGAACGATAGTTAAGAGGGAAGTCTCTCCAGTGGCATAAGTCCAGCCATGCCCGGTTGAAGGGAAAGAGCAGTTTCAGCAATCCCACAGCCTAGTCCCCCCAGAAGCAGGGGAGCTACCACCACGCCTTCTATTACCCTGGGTAGTGTGGCATCCTCAGAGAGGAGGAGTTCTGCCCCGGTCAAGAGGAATATAGGATGGCCTATATGTATGAGAGCATTGTAGCCCCTTGCAAAGGAATCTGTGTTAGACCTAAATCCATTTTATTGTTACTGCCTTAGTGCTATTTATGATAATGAAGCATGCCACCTGCCTCGTTAAGCTAGATCAATAGGATGTTAAGAACACTTGGCAGGGTCAGAACAGTTGGGTTAACTAACTGCTTATGTGATTTTAAGTCTTAAGTCTCTTAAGACCTCAGTTTTCTCACCTTTAAAATGAGGATAGTCCACATTCTCTGCGGTAACAGTTTATTCTGTCTTATTTTTGTTCTTAAAGTTTTGAGATAGATTCATCTTTTTGGATAAGCACATTGTTTGTGATTTTTGGACTCGATCAGTCTCGGCCCTGGGTGTTCTTCATTCCATAACTGTCCTTCTCTCCGTTGTGCCCACAGGATTCCAGTGAGAGTAGCTCCTCTGTGCCAGCCACACAGTTCATCATGTTGCCTCTTCCTGCCTACTCAGTTGTGGAGAACCCCACCTCCATCAAACTGGTCAGTGTGTGGAGAGTTAATGGAGATAAGGGCTCTGTAAGAATTCTCCCCCTCGTAGTTTTCTAAAAGTCTTGATGACGTTGAGGGAGATAGGACTGCCAAAGGTCTCAAATCACCTGCTCCAGGTATTCTTTAGCGGGTGTGGGGGTGGTGAGGAGAGTCTTTGAATGGAGCTCTGCAGGATCTTAAACTCCTCAAGATACATACAAATCTTTCTCTTTAAGAACCTTTACCTGGGATAGATTCAATGCCTCTTACCAAATTTTCAGAAGTATATGTGGTATAGAAAAATTGAGGGCCACTGATCTGATTCAATCCTATTATTGTACAGATTAGAAAAAAGGCCTAGAGAAGGGGAAGGACTCTATGATTCAAAGACACTGAGCTGCAAAACAGGCCAGAACCAGGACTCTGGTCTTTTGATTCTTAGTTAATGGTTTTCCTCATCACATACTGCAGCATCTGAGCTGAAATTTCTCCCTAAATATTTTACGGTTTTTTGTGCTGTTACAATTGGTAGTTCAAAACTTTTCAATATTTGATTATTCACTACTAATATATAATAACATAGTTGACTTTTTTTTTGCATATTAAACTTACATTCTACAACTTTTATTTTGCATATTAAACTTGTGTTCACAACTTTAACATTTGTAGTTTCTGTTGTATTTTCTACATAGTTTTGTTTGTGAATAAAGACAGTTTTATTTCTTTCTTTCTCATCTCGATTCCTTATTTCTTTTTCTTACTGTACTGTTTGGGATCTCTAGTACAATATTGACTAGAAATGGTCAGAGCAGATATTGTCATATTGTTCCTCATCTTAGGAGGAAAACAGTCTTTCACCAATCATTATGTGTAATATTAGCTATAGGTTTTTCATAGATATCCTCCTCAAGTTTAGGAAATTCTCTAATATTCCTAATTTGCTGGGAGCTTTTATCAGGAATGGATGTTGGATTTTGTCAAATGTTTTTCCTAGGTCTGTTGAGATGGTTGTAGGAATTTTCTTTTTTAGTTTGTTAATATGGTTAATTTCATTGTTTTTCAAATGTTAAATCAATCCTGCATTCCTGGAATAAATGCCACTTAGCAATCATGTATTATCCTTTTAGTATATTGTTGGATTTAATTTGCTAAAACTTTTCTCAGAAGTTTTGTGTGTATATTCTAGACACAAAATGAGGGATGTTGGTCTCTAATTTTCTTGTATGATGTTTGTCTGGTTTTAGTATCAGGTTTTAGTATCTACTATTACCTAGTAGAAAAAGTCAGGAAATACTTTATCCTCTTTACTTTTCAGGAAGAGTCGTGTAGTATTGGTATTACTGCTTCCTTAAATGTTTCAGGTCAAATCTGGGCCTGGAGATTTCTTGTGGGGAGATTTTTAATTGCAAGTCCAATTTTTAAAATATATATAGGACTATTTAGATTATATATTTTTAAATTTTATATAGATTTAGATTATCTGTTTTTGAGTGAGCGTTTATAGTTTGTCTTTCAGGGAATTTGTCCATTCCTCTAGGTTGTCCAATTTATTGACATAAAATTGTTCAAAACATTCCCTTATTTTTAAAATTGTGATGAAATATACATAATAGAAGTTTACCATTTTCACCATTTTTTTAAGTGTGCAATTCAGGGTCATTAAGTATATTCACAGTGTTGTGGGGTCATTAACAATACCTATTTCCAGAAGTTTTCACCATCCCAGACAAAAACCTTATGCCCATTAAACTGTAACTCTCTTCTTCTCCCCCAGCTCCTGGTAACATCTGTTTTACTTTCTGTCTTTGAATTTGCATATTTTAGGTGCCTCATGTAAATGGAATCATGCAAATATCCTTATGGTCTCATTTTTTTCACTTAGCATACTATCTGTCTTGTACCATGTATCAGAATTTCATTACTTTTTGTGGCTGAATAATATTCCATTGTGTGTGTATACTACATTTTGTTTATCCATTCTTAGACATTGATGGACATTGAGTTTGTTTTCATCTTTGGGCTATTGTGCGTATTGCTGCTGTGAACTTGAGTGGATACGTGTCTGTTTGAGTCCCTGATTTCAGTTTTTCAGGAGATACCTAAGAGTGGAATTGCTGGATCATACGGTAATGCTGGGTTTTAAAATTCTAATAAATGCTTATCTTTTAATATTTGTAGACTGTAGTGATTTTTACCTCTCTCATTACTGATAGTGGTAATTTGGGTCTCATTTCTATTTTTCCTGACAAGCTTGGCTAGAAGTTATCGATTATATTGACCTTCAAAGAACCAACTGTTGGTTTCATTGATTGTCTTTATTGTTTTTCTGTGTTGTATTTCACTGATTTTTGCCCAGATCTTTATTATCTCTCTTCTGTTTCCTTTGGGCTTAATTTATTCTTTCCTAGTTTTTTTTTTTTTTTTTTTTTAAGATTTTATTTATTTGAGAGAGCTTGAGAGCAAGCACGAATGGGAGGGAGTGGCAGAAGGAGAGGGAGAAGCAGATTCCCTGCAGAGCAGAGAGCCCAGTGTGTGCAGGCCTTGGTCCCAACACCCTGAGATCATAACATAAGCCAACAGCAGACACTTAACTGACTAAGCCACCTAGGCACTCCTCTTCTCTAGTTTCTTAAGATAGAAGCTGAGGTCATTGATTCGAGACCTCTCTTTCCTAATACAGCTGCTTAGTACTATAAATTTCCCTCTAAGCACTACTTTGGTGGCATCTCACAAATTTTAATATGGTATGTTTTCATTTTCATTTTGTTCAAAGTACTTTCTGATTTATTCTTTGACCCATACGTTATTTAAAAGTACATTATTTGCTTTCCAAATATCTGGGATTTTCCAGATATCTCTCTTTTTTTTTTTAAAGATATCTCCCTTTTATGGATTTCTGATTTAATTCCATTATAGTCAGAACTCTGCAGTTTGTAAAACTTGAATCCTCTTGAATTTATTGAAACCTGTTTTATGGCCTAGAATGTGTTGTGTCCTGAAAAATGTTCTGTGTGCCCTGAAAAGGAATGTATCTTCTGCTGTTGAGTAGTGTGTTCTATGTATGTCAAGTTAGGTCATGTTGATTGATAGTGGTCAGCTCTTTTATATCCTGACTGATTTTCTGTCTGTTTCTTCCGTCAGTTACTGAGAGAAGGCATCCACCTATCACTATAAATAAGATTTATCTTTTTTTCATTTTTATTAGTTTTTTGTTATGTATTTATTTTGACTCTGTTAAGTACTTAAACATTTAGGATTGTTATTATTTTTTTTTTTTTAATTTTGCTTATTTGAGAGAGAGCACAAGCAGAGGGAGGGGCATAGGGAGAGGGAGAAGCAGTCTCAACTCTTCATGGGCAGGGAGCCCAATAGGCAGGACCCTAAGATCATGACCTGAGCCAAAGGCAGATGCTTAACCAACTGAGCTACCCATGCGTTTCAGGATTGTTATGTCTTCATGATGAATCAACTCCTTCATCATCATGAGATAACCACCTTTTTTATCTGGCAGTATTGCCTGCTATCTCATTTACTTTGATAATGAGCTTTCTTTTGATTATTGTTATTAGGAAGTTATATCTTTTTCCAGTGTTTTAACCTGCTTATCTTTGTATTTTTTTTTGTAGGCAGTAATACAGTTTAGATCTAAAAGCAAGACCTATCTGACAATCTCTTTTTTAATTGTGGTATTTAGGCCATATATATTTAATGTATAAACACATAGTTAGGTTTAAATCTGTCATTTTACTCTTTGTTTTCTCTTTGTCCTGTTTTTTACTTTCTTTGGAATTGAATGTTTCTTATGAATCCATTTTATTAATAACTCCTTTCTTGGCTTTTTAGCTTTTAACTTTGTTTTAGCTATTGTGGTTTTTTGGGGGTTTATAGTGTACATCCTTAACTTGCAATAGATTATCTTCTAAAACCTGTGGATAAACAGTATATTTTTAGATGAGAAAGTTTTCATACCTTTAACAGGAACAGCCACTGCATTCTCATTCATGGAGAAATTACATGTTTCTCCTGAGCCTTTGCTTTCCTGGAAATTATTATTGTTCTTTCATGATTTAATAAGTGTCAGCCAGACTTTTCCAGAAAGCCTTCATAAATAATACTTAAGAATGAAACATCAGCCTGGAACACTGACATTTTTTTTTTCTAAAGCTATTTCTATAAGCTGCTATTTAGGAGTCTTTCCAAGTTCATGGTAATTTATTGATAGAACTGACCTAACTTAAGTTTTTACTCTACTTTCTGGTGGTGTTCAGAATGAATATTCTATATGGAGCCACAGTGAACAAAGATAGAGATGTTTTATATCCTAGCAATAATTTCTCACAAACCTATAGAATCTTGTACAGTTTAAGTGACATGGTTCCTAATTTCTTACCTTGTTTGCTCTTCAGGATACATCCATGAAATAGGAAGGGCAGATGATTTTACAGAGGAGGAAACCCAGGGCCCAAGAGCTAAAGTGACATACCTCCAGGTCATCCAGTGTGTCTGTGGTAGAGTTGGAACTCAAAGCCCAATCTCTTTCCTCAGTGCCACACCATTTCACCCTCATCCTTGACTTGCTGCTGCTACTACCATCACCTTTTCCCTAGTCATTCTGGCAGGGATAGCCTACTAGCAGCTTGGTGTTTCCCTAAGAGAGGTTTTTGCTTTTTGGCCAGGCTAGGGAAGGTGGGATTAATATCTGATAAAGCATTCATAAGTAACAGAACAAATCTGAGACGGAAATGTTTTCTTTGCAGCATTAATCAAGAAATGGAGCATGGCTAATTTCTGTTTGTAGCTGAAATGTAATGACCCATTGTAATCATTACGTTCAAAGGGAAGTCATTGGAGGGAATGAGAGCCACTAGCTGAATATATTCATATGCAAATAAATTATTGAGGTCTATTGGAATTCCTTTTTTTTTTTTTTTAAGTGGCCATGATCTATTTTTATCTCTCTGAACCCTAAGTCCTTGGTTTTCAAGTAGTGGAGTATGTGGAAGGAATCTTGGACCAAGAATCAAAGACTTCAGGTTCTAGGTCTACGTGTGCCCTTGATTCACTGTAAAATTTGAGCCAAAGTGTTTAATCACTTTGAATCGCAATAATTGTATCTACTTGATAGCATTGCTGAGAGTGTTAAATGAGATACTGGTAAAGCCTTTAGCACTGTGTGGTACTTGGTTTAATTAGTAGTGGTTGTTGCTATCTTTATTCCTCCTGTACCTATCTGTGTAACCTTGAGCAGCTGTCTTCTCTCATTTGAACTCAATTTCTCTATTTCTGAAAAGTGAATTAACTGTATCTTAGTACCTTTCCAATTCTGACCTTTTGAGATATCATGAATGGACTATTCTTCTGCAAGCTGGCATCCTCCTGGCATTGTGGGGTTATAATGGTCATCAGGATCTGAGAGGGGTTATACTGTGGTATTGATTCTGACTTGCTCTTTTCCTTACAGACCACTACGTACACCCGCCGGGGCCATGGGACATGCACCAGCCCAGGTTGCTCCTTTACATATGTTACCAGGCACAAACCACCTAAGTGCCCTACCTGTGGTAACTTCCTAGGAGGGAAGTGGATCCCAAAGGTAAGGTCCATTGGCCATTGCTGCTTTCGAAGCCCCACAAAGTAGGCTCCCTGTTCCCCTTTAGAACAGAGGACTTAAATATTTGTTTTTATTTTCTGACTATACAAGTTAGTTTTGTAGACTGTTTAAAAACGAGAATAAAATATTACCTATGATGTTATACCATCCAGAGAAAAGCAATTATTATCATTTTGGTGTATTTTCTTCCAGTCTTTCTTTCTTTGAATTTACAAGTTCTGTAGCTTGCCCTTTTTTTTAACTTAACGTAATTAAATACTCTTCAAGACCATTATCTTTAATTGCTCTATAACTTCTGTGAATGACTACACCATTTTGATTTACTCATTTCCTGTTAGGGTTAAATTTTTAATAATCTATCCTCTACACTGTTTAGTTCTATTTAGATATATAATTCACATCTGTTCACTTTTTAGCTGAGTCCTTTCAGTATCCTATAGTTCCTATTAAAAGCAAAGGTCCTTAACCTGATATTTAGGTCTTTCATTATTAACTTTCCAAATGTATACCTCTGTCTCTGTTTTTAAGTAAATGATGCTTGATAAATAAATGAGCACCAGAGCTACGCCCTGTAAAATTCAGTTCAACATGTTGTTACTTATTTTATGCTTTGCACTGATTATATAAATCATACATACTTGCCACATTTTTTGTTTAAGACTAAATTATTAGGGTCAAAGAACTAGAGTAGTCAAGGTTGGGTTATAAAGCAGATGATCTTGAAAGATCAGTAGAATTTAGGTAGAAAAAAAGAGGGCATTGTTTTTGTGAAAATAACTTAGGCTAGGTTTGTGTTTCTTAGGTGTCTAACTCAGCATGGTCCAGACTTAGCTGTGTGGAGAAAACTTATATAGTGGCATATCTATTAAGTTCCTCAGAGGCAGTTTCCATAGAACATCTCTGTAAAATACTAGGGTGGTGACTTTTTTTCCCCTCTGGCTGTGTGTTGGGAGTTTAGAGCATCACTAATTCCAGGAGACAGAATAGGTTCATAATTAAGAATACACTGGGGAAGCCTGGCTGGCTCAGTTGGGAGAGTATGAGACTCTTGATCTTGGGATCATGAGTTCGAGCCCCATGTGTGGAGGTTACATACATACAGACATAAACATGAAAGAAAAAAAGAAAATGTATTTGGTGTCTGCACCAGGTTCCTGGCACTGAGTTCCTAAAACCCTAGAAATTTCGAGTGATAAAAAGAGCGGGGAGCATCTTTGGGGGGGAAAAAGCTTTTGGAGTCAGCTTTCCTCAGTTTAAACTTTGGCCTCCCAAGGATGTTAGCTGTGAAACCTTGGACAAGTCACTTTATGCCTATTTATTTGGTTTATCTTTCATTTGTAAATGGAAATTAGTTGTTGTGCCTGCTTCATTATGATTGGCAGAGGGATCAAATGAGATTATCTCTCTAAAGTGGATGGCATATTTCTAGTATAGAAATCCTTCAGTAGGGGGGTCACTGCTGTGACTATTGGCACCAATGTAATTGTCTCTATTATTGCTTTTCACACTATCTCTTCAAGGGCAGGAAGGACCCAGGGGCAGTGTGTTTGAGGAGATTTTGTTGAGTTTCTTGTGCTCACCATCTCTGTTGTGCTGCTGTACAACACTTGGTTTCCTCCTACCCTAATTATTTGCCCCAACCTCATCTGCAGTAGAGAGATTGACTAGGATAGTCGGGATTCTCCTTGGCCCTTCTTCACAGGTGCTCAGCAGGTCTGTCAGATGACCTTATTTCTTGTGCTTTTGTATGGAAGGGTTCTAACTGATCCTGTGGCTGTGTCTCCTTCAGGTTCTGTTTTTACTTTGACTTTTTCTTTTTTCCCCCTTTGACTGAAATAACTTTTGAGCCATGGTTCTGAGATCAAACTCATGATGTGAAACCAGTTTTTTTCTTAGCTACTTGTCCCTCATCTTGACTTGTTAAGCCAGATTTTTTTCTCCAAAGGTTTTTATAAAAATTACTGGTAGGAGGGCAGCCCGAGTGGCTCAGCAGTTTAGTCCCGCCTTCAGTCCAGGGCCTGATCCTGGAGACCTGGGATCGAGTCCCACGTCGGGCTCCCTACATGAAGTCTGCTTCTCCCTCTCCCTGTGTCTCTGCCTCTCTATCTATCTATCTATCTATCTATCTATCTATCTATCTATCTATCTAACAAAATCTTAAAAAAGAAAATTACTGGTAGGAGCACCTGGGTGGCCCACATTGGGCTCCCTGCTCAGTGGGGAACCTGCTTCTCTCTCCCTTTTGCCCTCCCCCTCTGCTCCTGCTCTGTCTCTCCCTTCCTCTCTCTCAGATAAATAAAATCTTGAAAAAAACAAAAAAGAATTACCCTGTAAAGAGTAGATGCTCTACTTACTAAATCTCATAGGATCAGAATAGGTGAGTGTAAGAAGAAAAAGTGTAACATTTAGCATTAGTGCACTTAGAATTTTAGAGATAGGGAAGCCTGGGTGGCTCAGCAGTTGAAAATCTACCTTCGGCCCAGGGCATGATCCTGGAGTCCTGGATCGAGTCCTACGTCAGGCTCCCTGCATGGAGCCTGCTTCTCCCTCTGCCTGTGTCTCTGCCTCTCCCTCTGTGTCTCTCATAAATAAATAAATAAAATCTTGAAAGAAAGAAAGAAAGAAAGAAAGAAAGAAAGAAAGAAAGAAAGAAAGAAAGAAAGAAAGAAAGAAAGAAAGAAAGAAAGAAAGAAAGAGAAAGAAAGAAAGAAAGAAAGAAAGAAAGAAAGAAAGAAAGAAAGAAAGAAAAGAAAGAAAGAAAGAAAGAAAGAAAGAAAGAAAGAAAGAAAGAATGAATTTTAGAGATAAAAGTAACTTTGGTTATCAGATAGTTCAAGTCCAGATCTCTAGCTGAGGAAAAATAGATTCAAGAGAAGTGACTTGTTAAGGTCACATAGCTAATTATGTCAGTGCTTTTCCACTAAATCACACTTCTCAGGCATTGCTGTGCTGTTTAGCTGCAGAATCTTAAGATTTCTTGAGTTCTGATTTTTGAAGCAGCAAGTATAAATAGTTTCTAAAAGCTCCAAATGTGTTCATGCCCGTCAGGAAATGACTCACCTTTTCTTGCATTGTTCCAGAGTTCATACTGGCTAAAATTAACCCAAGAAACGTTCAGCACAGTTCCCAATGAATTGGATGGAACAAAAGATGGCATATAAAGTTCTTTAGCCCAAGGCCTTACTCCTTTAGCTCTCTAATAATGGTAATTGAGGTCTCTGTAAGCGGGCGACTGGTAGTATTTACCTTCCATCTTGAAAGAAAGTGACATCTAAAAAGGGTAGGTTGAGTTAAGGAAATTAGCTCACTAGCTAATTTTTTTGCTGTGATTTCTTAAATTATTCAGTCTCCCTGCAAAGGATTTTTAACTAAAATAGCCTCCTTAGTGGGCCGTGCTTTGCTCAGAGATTTCTTTACAGGGATTTAGTTTAACTTGTCTCCTGTTTTTCTGATGACTTTTCCCTTCTCCAGTAGTCAGTAGGCTCTGTGCAGTTTACTGGGAATTTTTCTCTGTAATACTTACTCTCATGGATTATTATTGTGTGTTAGAATCTGAGAATGCTTTACTGGAGGTTGTTTTTTTTTTTTTTTTAGATTTTATTTATTTATTCATGAGAGACCCAGAAATAGGCAGAGACACAGGCAGAGGGAGAAGCAGGCTCCATGCAGGGAGCCCGATGTGGGACTCGATCCCGGGACTCCAGGATCATGCCCTGGGCCGAAGGTAGATGCTCAACCGCTGAGCTACTCAGGCGTCCCTTTACTGGAGATTTCTTAAAGGTCATCCTTATTTGTTCTTAACTAGAAGCACTGTCCTGCCCAGGTGGCTTTGGAAATATAAGGGGTTTTGGTAGTCAGTGACTGGGTGAGAATATGGACATTTAATTTCAGTAGCCACAGATCTTAATCTAATGCAGTGTCGGGAATCCTGCACCACAAGTTGGGCCACCCAAAAGGCTATTGCACTGTTGTTGATGAACTCTGAGAGCCTGTCTCCTATTTCATGGTGGCAGAATGGGGGGTTCTAATGAAGTTTGTCTTGTGTGACATAAGTAGGTAGAGGTGAAGCACCACCTAGGTAGAACTCAGCTTTTATGTTTTATACCTCCTTGTTTATAGTGCCTTTTGCTATTCACATGGAATTTAAAAACCTTTCTGAGACCTGTTCTTGAGACAACTACAGACTTTAAAAAATTTTGTATGTATATGTATTTAAATATATGTGTATAGGTATATGTATAAATAATAGTATATTTCCACAGCAGAGCTGATGGAATGAAAGCTACCATGCCAAGGAATTTTTTAAAGTAGGTTGTTCTGAAATAGCAGCTGGTATTTTTAGTGAGTTTGAATATTTTCTAGCAAGTAATTAATATGTATGGATTAATTTGACCAAGGGAGAAGTTTGTGGTATGTGTGTAAGTTAGCCTTAAGACTCACCTGAAAAGAATCTGGGACGAGGGATCCCTGGGTGGCGCAGCGGTTTGGCGCCTGCCTTTGGCCCGGGGCGCGATCCTGGAGACCCAGGATCGAATCCCACATCGGGCTCCTGGTGCATGGAACCTGCTTCTCCCTCTGCCTGTGTCTCTGCCTCTCTCTCTCTCTCTCACTGTATGCCTGTCATAAATAAAAATTTTAAAAAAAAAATTAAAAAAAAAAAAAGAATCTGGAACGAAAAATAGAGGTTTTCCCAAAAGAATTGGAGGCTTTGAATCTCCCTATGTGAGAGTTGACTACATTGGGATTAACTGAATCTCATAAAGGGACCACCAAGATGACAATTTAGGATTTCTAGACCCAGTATGGCAACATGTCAGCTTCTTTCTAGATGTGGAGAAGCAGGCTTTGAACAAAGATCAGGCTCAAAATATCAGCATTTATTTGCTGGAAACTTAAAGAGAAATTTGATGAGAAATTTGTTAGGGGAAGAACAGCTTTATCCTATCCTGCATGTTGAATACTATAGTAGAAGGGACCTGTAGTCAGAAGACTTAGATTCAGGCCAGTTTTGTACTTGGCCCTTACATTAGCCTGTTGCTCTCTCTTGGTCTTCATCTCTTAATCTGTTGTCCATACATAGCTGTGAGGATCGAATGAGAGAATATTTATGATGTGTTGTTCGCTGTAAAATGGTGTGTGCATACAAGCAGTCTTATTTTTTCTAGGAAAAGCCATCCAAAGTCAAAGTGGAATTGGCTCCTGGTATCTCCTCCAAAGGTTCGGTGGTTAAAAGAAATCATCAGCCTGTCAACACTGAGCAAAATTCCCCAAAGGAAAATGCCTCCAAACTGACTCTGGAGAACTCGGAAGCTGTAAGCCAGCTCCTAAGTGTAGCTCCTCCAAGAGAAGTGGGTGAGGAGAATGAGTGGGAGGAAGTGATCATCTCAGATGCCCATGTTTTGGTCAAGGAAGCTCCTCGGAATCGTGGTACAACAGCCATGAAGACGTCGGTGGTCAAGAGTGGTGTGCAGCCTGAGGTCTCTCTGGGGACAACTGAGAACGATAGTCCTGGACCAGACTTACCACCACCAGCTGAGAGGACTAGCACTTCCAGTCCTCTCCCTGCTCCTAAGAAGCCTACAGGGTAAACTAATATGTTCATTTATTATAGGACTGTATTTAGAATGGCAGGTTGGGAAATGAGCCATGTTTTGTCCTATGTCCTTACAGCATTCTTGAGAGACAGGAGACCCCAATTAATGGTTCTTATTTTAGAGATAAAGAAACCAAGGCCTAGAACCATGGGATGATTTGCCTTTCCTCTTACACTCTTCTGTCTGTGCATTGCTATCACATTCCTGTACATCTCTTTTTGTCATTTTCCCTAAAACAATTATTAGAGTCCATTTGGTACACACTGAGGGTGGTGTTACAAACTAGCATCGTGGTTACTAGATTTGGAAAGAAAAGCTTTATTAAGTCATCTTACAGAATGACTCTTGTCCTGGTGGTCAGAGAATTCAATTGTAGTTGTGATCAGTCTCTTGATTTTTTTTTTTTTTTTAAGATTTTATTTATTTACTCACGAGAGACCCAGAGAGAGAGGCAGAGACACAGGCAGAGGGAGAAGCAGGTTCCATGCAGGGAGCCCAATGTGGGACTCGATCCCAGGACTCCAGGATCACACCCTGGGCTGAAGGCAGGTGCTAAACCGCTGAGCCACCCAAGATCCCCTTGATTTCTGTTTGACCTTGGACATTGTCCCTTCATATCCATTCTCTCCTCTGAAAAATCTTGAGTTGGGTATTGAAAAAATCTAATCTTTAATAGCTGACCTTACAGACTTACAATCTTAACAGAAAAGATTGTATGTAAAGCTTGCACAGCCCAGTGCCTTGCAGATAGGAGGAGGCCCATAAATGTGGACTATTTTTCCTCCTACTTCCCTCCTTAAAGGCCTGACTGGATTTTTCATGTGGCCCTTTCTCAGAGTCCGTTGTGGTCTTATGACTAATGGCCCTTATTTGTTTATATCAGTGGTTCTCAACAGGGAACACTTGTGCCCCCAGGAGACATTGAGGCAATGTTTAGGGACCTTTTGAGATTGTGACAACTGTGGGGGAAGAGGTGCTGCAGGTATCTAGTTGGCAGAGGCCAGATGTGCTTCTAAACATCCTAAAGTGCACAGGACAGGCCTTTGGGAACAGAATTATCTAGGCCAAAATGTCAGTAGTGCCCAGACTTAGAAATTCTGGTGTATATTATTTGATTTAAAATGTTTTGTTGAATAGGAAATAAAGTCACATGGTTCAAACTCAAAGGATATAAACTGAAATAAATCTGTATTCTAGCCTGTCCTTCACTCATCCATTTCCGTTTTTCTGACACAATCAGTATTCCACCTTCCTGGGCAGCCCGGGTGGCTCAGCAATTTAGCACCAACTTTAGCCCAGGGCGTGATCCTGGAGACCCGGGATCGAGTCTCACGTCGGGCTCCCTGCAGCGGAGCCTGCTTCTCCTTCTGCTTGTGTCTCTGCCTCTCTCTCTCTCTGTCTCTCTCATGAATAAATAAACAAAATCTTAAAAAAATATTCCACCTTCCTGCTTTCTAGACATAATTTTACACACATACATGTATACGTATGTGGAGATGTGTATTTGTAGGTATAACTTTTTCCTACCCTTTTTACACAAATGGTAGCATAACTTACATACTTCTACGTCTTTCCTGTTTTTATTTAATGTATACTTTGGGATGGTTCTGAATCTTTAGAGAATGAAGCCATGCAGTTCAGACCTTTTGTTTTGGGTAACTGAGTCACTTGGCAAATGTGTATTGAGGCCTTCTGTCATGTAGACTCTGCTACAAAGCTGCAAAGAAAACATGGATTTTGTTCTGCGGGGTCTTTTAGCTGCCCTCTTGTGGGAGACTGATATACTTGAAATACTAATTAGAGGCAGGTCAGGTCATATAACTCTGATAACTATTGGTATTCTACGTTGTGGGCACTGTTTTGTGCTTTTTTAATCTTCATAATGATCCCGTGAAAAGTATGGCTAAAGCCCGATGGTTTACTACACTATTCCTCTACTAAAATGCTATTTGGAGATTGTACTTTCGTTTTCTTTCTCTTGGTCTGAAATTTTTAGATTTGCCTTCTTGTTTTTTTTTTTTTCAGAGTTGAGCTGCTCACTCCCGGGGCCAGAGCCCCAGAGCTTAAAGGCAAAGCTCGGGGCAAGCCCTCATTACTAGCTGCAGCACGACCCATGAGAGCAATTCTCCCAGCCCCATCTAACGTGGGCCGAGGCAGCAGCATGGGACTGCCCAGGGCCAGGCAGGCCTTCCCCTTGAGTGGTAAGGGCTGGGACAAACCTGGGAGTGGGGAACTGTCCAATGGGAAAGGGACAGGAATGGGAATTGTTGAGGATGGAGACTCAGTGCACTTAAGTCACCAGTTTGGTTCCTGATTGTCTCAGATAAAACCCCCTCTGTGAGGACTTGTGGCCTGAAGCCAAGCACGCTGAAGCAGCTGGGCCAGCCGCTCCAACAGCCATCTAACACCAGTGAGGTGAAGGTAAGATCTACTACTGTCCAGAGGTGGGCCTTTTTGCGGGTCTACTGCTCTGAGAACAGGGCTTCTATTTAGTGTATCAAAGCTATAAGCAAAAAGCCTGTTCTTATACTGGTAGACCTCTGAAATGAAGCTGAGCATGAGTGAGTCACTCATTTTTAGTTAATTTTTTTTTTCTTGTTATAAAATGAATGCATGTTTTTAAACTTCGGCTTTCAAAATAATTTTGAGGTGTGCTTGGATGGCTCAGTCAGTTAAGCATCCCACTCTTGATTTTGGCTCAGGTCATGATCTCAGGGTCCTGGGATAGCCCTTTGGTGGGCTTCCTGCTCAGTAGGGTGCCTGGTTCTCCCTCTCTGCCCCTCCCCCCCACTTTTTTTCTCTCTCTTTCATTCTCTCAAATAAATAAAACCTTAAAAAATAATAATTTTGAAACTTAGGAAACGAGTTAGTAGCATAAAGATTGTACAGAGAGCAGCCATGTACTTTTTACCTGTAGTCATTTACTGTTACCGTCCATTTTGTCATTTGTTATCACTTTGTCATTTGTGCTCCAATGTACTTCTAAAATACATGTAATTTAAGGGGAGGTTACATGGCCTATTGCTTCTTAATATTTCAGTGTGTATTTCATAAGAATCAGGATATTCTGTTGCTGAAACATTGATACAATACTTCAGTCTGTCATTTGCATTCCCATTTCATCAGTTTTACCCAGTTATGTTCTTTATAGCATTTTTCCACTTTAGTACAGGATTCAGTCTAGGACTAGATATTGCATTTAGTTATATTCCTGTAGCCTCTTTTGAAACAAATGAATGCATGGCTATCGTAGAAAATAAAGAAAATTTAGGTTAAGGCAGAAAGAAAATAAATCCCATGAAATCCTCCTGCCCAGAACTACTGTTGGCATTCTCTGCCCATTCTGAGCATCCTGAGTCCTTTCCTATATTTGTGTTTTTTAAAGATTTTATTTAAGAGAGAGAGTCAGCATGAGCGGGGGGGGGAGAGGGAGAAGCGGGCTCCTTGCTCAGCGGGATGAGGGACTCAATCCCAGGACCCTGGAATCGTGACCCAAACCAAAGACAGACACTTAACCAACTGAGCCACTCAGGCACCCCTTGTGTGTGTATTTTGTATTGTATGTTTTATTTATTTGTGTTTTAATAGAAATTTTTAAAACCAAAAACAGCTCTTACTCTGCATTCTAGTTTATAGCCAGTATAATCCATTCAACTTTAATGATAGAGTTTTTAGAGGTTTCCCAAGTGCCAAAAATCCAGTGTTTTAGCACACTTACTCTTAGATTTTTCTTAGTTCTTTTTCCATTTGTGACTAGAATAATTATCAAAATTCCCTAAATCAGCATTTTTTACTAGACCTCTTTTTTTTTTTTTTTAGATCATGACCCTCAATAGTATATTTCACATCACAGCCCAGTAAACTTATCCATATTCCTGCATATGTAAGAAGTATAAGGAAGTTATGCCTTGATTATAGGCAGTCATTTTGGTATTTTCCATTTTTGTAGAATGCTGGCTTTAACTCATTAAATTAAACTCTCAGTCTTCTCTGTAAATAGTTTCCTTTTGACTGACAACATTGGGTTGTTAAAAGCCATAGTCCTTTTGCTAGTCTTTTTTTTTTTTTTTTAAGATTTTTTATTTATTCATAGAGACAGAGAGGGGGAGGGGCAGAGACACAGGCAGAGGGAGAAGCAGGCTCCACGCAGGGAGCCTGATGCGGAACTCGATCCCAGGTTCTCAGGATCACACCCCGGGCTGAAGGTGGTGCTAAACCACTGCGCCACCAGGGCTGCCCTCCTTTGCTAGTCTTAAGCCAGTTAAGTTATGTGAGATTTTACATTTAGTGAACAATCTTTCAGTTGTTTTTTTGTGCCAACATTATTCAACCACATATTTACATGTATAACTATTAGGAGCTTTTCTCACTTGGTAGTGGTTATAAATCTGATTCACAATATTTCTAATATACTGTGTTAGAAGCTGCACAGAAGAGTGTGGCAACCCTGGACTTGGAAGTGATACTCAACCTCTGGTGGGCTGGTGATGCTGACTAGCACCTTAGAGGGTTCTCATGGTGCATAGCTCCACTCATTCCCTGGGAAACTATTTCCTCAAGCTGTTTCAGGACACAGCACCTCAGCAGTTTGAGGTTTTATATTAAAACACTAAATCACTTGTTCTGATCCACAGCTACCAAATGGCCCAGCCAGTAGGACGTCTCAGGTGAAAGTTGTAGAGGTCAAGCCTGATATGTTTCCTCCATACAAGTACAGCTGCACTGTAACACTGGTAAGTGCAGCCACAGGTGATGGTGAGTTGACATGGAGGTGGTTTTGGTTTTCGGGCAGAGGGTGAGTAGAAGTGTGAGGGAGGTGGGGAGTGGTAGTTGGGAGTGAGAGTAGGGTCAGGGACAGATCATTGGTTCTAAATATTCTATTACTAAAAAAAATGATAGTTGCTGGGTAAATCAGCTAGATTTTTCCCAGATGAGATCTACAGAGTGTAGGCCAACTGAGCCATGGAAGGTTCTTGGAGAGTAATTGGAGATGAAAATCCAGTCCAGCTTTAGCATTCAACAATCTTTGGAACTTTCAGCCTCAAAAGTGTTTTCCACAGATAAGCTTGAGAAAGTTATATTTTTCCTCCTTAAAACAGTGTTACATTCGGTACTGATATTTCAAAGGATTTGAGAAGTACTTTGGTAAAGCAACTTTGTTTCACTTGGCATTTCCTACCAAGATTTTCCCTCCCTACCCACCTTTTATTTTTGTATGACTGGGGCATTCTTCAGCAAGGTAAGCCACATGGAGCAGTGGGATAAACACTCAAAGGACTTAGTCCTAAAGTGGTTCTGGCTCTGTTGGTTGCCAGCATGCCATGTGACCTTGGCCAAGGCTCTTTGCTTCTCTGGTCCTCAGTTTTCACCATCTGTAAAATGCTGCATTGTTTTAGATATCATATGGGGGGGGGTTGTTTTGTTTGCTCTTAATATCCTCTAATTTTGTTGGTCCTTTAGGTATCAGGTAGGCGGTTCTCTGAGTTGAGTAAGACACACAGGTTTTGAGAGAGCAGCTGGATTTTTGAAAATTCTTATCTGATGAAGGCAGACAGATGGAGAACCATTCATTCATTCAAAAAATATTTCCTGAGCACCTACTCTGGCCAGGCCCTGTGCTGATGCTTCCACAGTAGCAAGACAGCACAGAATGGTGGATTAGTGCATAGTCTGCGCTGATCCTTAAGAATATCTCCTTTAGGGATCCCTGGGTGGCGCAGCAGTTTGGCACCTGCCTTTGGCCCAGGGCGCGATCCTGGGGACCCGGGATCGAGTCCCACGTCGGGCTCCCGGTGCATGGAGCCTGCTTCTCCCTCTGCCTATGTCTCTGCGCCTCTCTCTCTCTCTCTGTGACTATCATAAATTAAAAAAATATATATATATCTCCTTTAGGGATGCCTGGGTGGCTCAGCGGTTGAGCACCTGCCCCTGGCTCAGGGTGTGATCCACGTCTCAGGATCGAGTCCCACATCTGCCTACATCTCTGTCTTTCTCTCTCTGTCTTTCATGAATCAATAAATAAAATCTTCTTTAAAAAAAAAAAAGAATATCTCCTTTACCCTGGATGTCTGCTCAGGTTTCTTTTTCCCAGAGACCTAATTACTACCTTCTCCATGCCATCTGTACTTTTACTTCCCTGTCCCTTGGCTACAGGAGGCTACTAGGGTTACCATCCGGGGCAACTTTCAGGACCTTTCTTTTTGGTTGATTAGATAGCTATTTGTCATAGAAGCCTAGATCCCTGAGATTTGAGCTTAGGTTGTACAAAGGTCACGATTGTCTTTAGGCAGGGTGCACACTCTTTAGTTCACCACAGTGACCAGCCTGCTGTTAGAACAGGCGTACTTCACTCTGTCAATGGCCTTGAATACCTGACTCTTAAGAGTCCACTCATCACTTGTTTCTTTCACAAATGGAGGAGAAGGACTTGCCAAAATTACTCAGGCTGTATTAAGTCGAAAGGGGGTAACTTTTAACTTAATACAGGAAAAGGATCTTGCTTCAAGGCCCTTTGGAAGTTAGTCCACATCTGCTTTTGCAGTTGTCACTCTTTGATTGACTGATAGCTGGTCATCCTGGTTTTGATTCTGCTCAGGTGTCACTTTTGTAAAATTGAATATTGTTTTTTTTTGTTGTTGTTGTTGTTTTTAGGATTTGGGCCTGGCTACTTCAAGAGGCCGGGGAAAATGCAAGAATCCCTCTTGTAACTATGTCTACACCAACAGACATAAGCCGAGGATTTGTCCCAGCTGCGGTTTTAACCTTGCCAAAGACCGGACTGAAAAAACCACCAAGGCTCTCGTGAGTTCTTTCCCTGAACACACTCCCTAGCCCTGTGTTGAGCTCTTAGTGCACCTGTTTTAGTAGAAGTAAGATGATTTCTTAGTACGTGACGATAGAACACCAGAATTAGAACCAGTTAAGTTCTGAGCCTAGCCACCTTTTCTCCAGATTTGCTTATCTTTATTGTTAAGTTTGGTTTAGGTTGCCTAGGTACCCTAATCTCTGAGAACTTTCTAGCCCAGTGGACCAAGAGTTCATTCTCCAAAGAGAATGGAATACAGGCTGTAAGGAGGGTTCTGAAGAAGAGAGGGATAGAAGGGTTACATTCTTTAGCTCAGAGACTATTTTGGGAATTGGAGAAGGCTGACCCAAAGACTTTGTAGATTAGATCACTGCTTCTCAGGTTCCTTGCAGAGCTTGTGGCTTAACACAGAGCTTTACTTCTAGCAGTCTTGGCAAATTTCTCTGAAGTTGGACCAAGCTGTTTGGATAGTAAAACACATTCCACTTGGCTCCTTAGGGCTGGTGTTTTTATTTATCAGAACCAGGAAAAATGGGTGTTATCAGAGGTCCTGTGACTTTCCTGAACTGAACAGAAAAATGTAACACCTGAGACAGCAGATAGAATGAGTAGGATGGGGGTGAGAAGACAGTCTTCCCCATCTGCCTTGGGGCAACACAGGATGGCATCCAGACCAGGTCAGGTTCCAAGGTGGAGCCTGGCCACTCCACATCTAAGCTGGACTTTGCACAGTGGGCAGGATTTGGATGGAAGGGGAGGGCATGCCATACTCCGGGTTAAGCAAGGTTAAAAGTGAAGAGCTAGAGAGGGTGGTCCAGGCACCTAAAAGAGAAGGATATTTAGGGAGGGGTATGGAAAATAAGGCTCAGAAGGCATGTTGGGGTCATATTGTGGAAGATCCTTAGTGCTAGACCAGGCAATTTGGTTTTTAGGCAATAGGGTCACATTGAATGTCCTTGAGCCAGAGTGAGGCCCAGATGTTATGTCAGGAGAGAGACTTCTGGGGATTTGGGAGTGGACAGGACTACTGAGGTGGTGAGGAACTATTTCAAGCTGTTTTCAATACATGTGGAGGGGTGGGGCAGGGGGAACTCCTGACTGATGAATCTCATCCCCCTGGTCCTGGCTTTGTTTCCATGCTCAAGGTAGTGGTCTGAGGTTGTCCTTGTGAGAAAGTGAAGTGGAGGTAAAGTATGTGGGCACTGATGGCCTAGTAGAAGAAACACAGGGACCAGGAATCGAGAGACCTGGCCCTGAGCTGGATGCCTTCCCTCTTCAGAGTTTTAGTTTCTCCATTGACAAAAAAGGCAGGCAAGGTGGATTCCGTCTGGATATTTTATTCTCAGGGCCATCAGACCCAGAGAAAACTCAGAATTGAGCCTTAAGGAGTCTGTAGACCCTGAGGAGCCTCGGTGGCAGTTGGGCATCAGACTCTTGGTTTCAGTGCAGGTCTTGATCTCATGGTCGTGGAATTGGGCTCTGTGCTGAGCACAGAATCTGCTTGAGATTCTCTGTCCCTCTCCCTCTCCCACTTGTGCTCATGCAAGCACACCCTCTTTCTCAAATAGGTAAATCTTTAAAAAAAAAAAAAAGTGTAAATCCCTGAAATTGCATGTAAAATAGATCCATAGCTTCCATCAGATTTCTCTTGCTCCATTGGCTGTCCCTTGCTGGCAATGAGCTTCCTGGATCTTCCATGCTCTAATGTGGTACTCTTCACTTAAGGTTGACCACATTGTGTCTTGACTTCCTCTTAGCTCCTTGTGACATCATAATCTCTTTTAGGGCAGGTATATCTATTTTCCCATACCACCTTCTTCTTTTTTTTTTTTTTAATTCATGAGAGACACAGAGAGGCAGAGACATGGGCAAAGGGAGAAGCAGGCTACCTGCAGGGTAGCCGATGTGGGACTCAATCCCAGGACCCCAGGATCACACCCTGAGCCACCCAGGCATCCCTTCATCGTACCTTCTGACCCTGGAATATGCATACTCAATGTGTGGATCAGTGATTATAGAATGGAATTGAGTTCTGTATAAGTAGAGGCTCTGAACATTCTTTTCTCCTATTTGATTGTAGCTGTTGATGTGGTATGCAGAATGGAAATGAATGATGGTCCCTAGATCTGGGGTAATGAGATGACCTACCTTTCCAGGTCAAATGGGAATGGTCAGGACTTCTGGCCATTTGATTTCAAATCCTACTTTTTGAGATTTGTATTTATATTCTTCTGTCTTAGGCTGATAGCTGCCTACCCACAGGACACTTATTTTCTGACATTCTGTCTCTTTTCAGCTTACTAAATTTTAGAGAAATAAAATGTAAGTCCTGTTGTTCATAAACTAAAACACTGGTCAGAGACCCCGGATCCTTTGTCATGCTCTTTGGAGTCCCCTGGTGGCCATACATTTTCCTGTGCATGGCCCATGCTGTAATTGGAGGCTGTAATTAAGACTTTTAAATGTTTTTTTTTTAAATTTTTATTTATTTATGATAGTCACACAGAGAGAGAGAGAGAGGCAGAGACATAGGCAGAGGGAGAAGCAGGCTCCATGCACCGGGAGCCCGACGTGGGATTCGATCCCGGGTCTCCAGGATCGCGCCCTGGGCCAAAGGCAGGCGCTAAACCGCTGCGCCACCCAGGGATCCCTGTAATTAAGACTTTGGACAGGAATGATATTCATCCCTTTCCATCTTGCATCTGTGACTCCGAGCAAAAGGATACAGTATTCCTGCCAACTCTTCTTCCAGTCCATGGTTCACATAGTCATGACTGGGAACACACTATCTTCCAGGGCAACTCCTCATGTCAACTCTCTGCAGCCATTCATTCTTTCTTTCAGCAAGCATACATTGAATGCCTACTATAGGTCAGGCATTTGGAGATACAGAGATAAATAGGAGGTGGTCCCTTCTCTTGAGGAGCTTACAGTCTAGTGTGGGGATAAAGATAGGTAGCCAAACTTATAATGAGGTAAGAGTTCTTGTAGGTGTGCAGAGTTAATAGAAAGTTCCTTCTTGTTATTAAGCAATTAATTTCTGCAAAGCAACATGTAATATGTCCAGCAGGTATGAATTAGCATTTTTGTGTGCTCTTATGCTGGTATCGAGAATGTGTAAACAAGCACGGAAAAGATGCTTATACTCACCAAAGATGAGGGAATAGTCTCACCAACTTTGAGTCAGTGAATTCTGCAGTAAAAGAATGGACGCTGGGAGTATCAGGGAGGGAGTGATTCCTACTGCATTTGTACAAGGGATTAGGGAGGAACCTCCATTAAAAAGGACCTATTTTTATGAGCATTTCAGAACCTTGTTCCTGAAAGCCTCCGACTAGTGTCTAAAATAGTTCCCTTGTACCCGCAAGATAAAGGTGTTAGAGAAATACTTGAAGCAATGCAGCTACTTATTTACATATTGAAACTGTTGTTCATAGAGCTTTCATTGTTTCCCCGGTACTATCCCAAGTACTTTACTTGCAATATTTTATTTACTCTGTACAACTATAGGAGATAACTAGTATTTCATCCTTCATTTCATAGGTAAGGAAATTGAGGCTCAGAAAGATTTAAGTATATTGCTTTGGGTCACACAGGTGTAGCTCTTAGGTGGCATGTCCAGAAGTGAGACCTGGGTGTGTTCTTTTCCAAACCCTATCCCTGGTGAATGGAAGCCGACTCTTAGAACTGTTACTAAGCAGTGTGTGTCATCCTCTTGTTTCACTGAGAGAGAACCAGCGCCAGAGAGAGAAAGCATCTGCCTTGAGTCACAAAGCAAATTACTAACTGAGCTGGTTTGAAGCCTTGGTTTCCTCCCCTCCACCATGGCCAGGCCCGTCCCTCTGTTACCTGTAGCCTCTCTGATTGAGTCTCGGTGCTGGCTGATCATTCAGTCTGCTCTTTTCCCAGGAGGTCAGCTCCCCCCTCCCAGATGTGCTGAGTGCCACAGAGCCGCTGAGCCTGGCCCAAAGGGAGATCCAGCGCCAGTCCACGCTGCAGCTGCTGCGCAAAGTCCTGCAGATTCCTGAGAACGAGTCAGAGCTGGCCGAGGTCTTCGCCCTGATTCACGAACTCAACAGCTCTCGACTCATTCTGTCCAACGTGAGTGAGGAGACAGTCACCATCGAGCAAACGTCTTGGTCGAATTATTATGAGTCTCCATCCACGCAGTGCCTACTCTGTAGCAGCCCATTATTCAAAGGGGGACAAAAGTAAGCACCCCTTTCAGAATTACCCTGTCTGTAGTGCCCGGTCTTCCTCGGCCATATTGTACCTTATTTCAGACAGCTGTGAAACTATAGCCTTTGAAGGTGTTATTCTCTGCTTCTCTTAAGTTTCCTTTGCTTTTGAATTGCTAAAGTAAAATAATAGTACTTATCTATTATTTCTATTGGAAAATGCCTGAAAGTTACTGTCACCAAGTTAGGATTTTATTTACATCTGGACTATCCAGCACAAAGCTTGGATTTGGGAGTTCAGGGGGATTGGTTAAATTGGGTAATAAATCCAGAGTTACGTTAACTTTAGGGGTGATTTCACAGACCTCGTTCCAACAGAGTGGGAATACCCACCTAGAAAACCCTGGAACACAAGTCCACTCGGCACCTTCATTTGCCTACCTCATTAGAGTCTTGAGAATTTTGCCATTGATCCCTGAGCCCAGGAACTGCATCACGTTGATTTCCCTTCTGTTCTTCTGTTGGTGATGTTTTGGTACTAGCTCCCTGGCTGGGCCGCAGGAGTGCTGGCTGCTGACAGCCAGCCGGCTGCAGGTGGTGACTGCCCAGGTGAAGGTGTGTCTGAATCCTCATTGTCTGGCCCTGCACAGTTTCATGGACATCTATACAGGTGGGTGTCAGCCTTTCTTCCCTCAAAGGTCCCAAAGCAGGCTTGGGAACAGCCTCTGTGGGTCACACCTCTGCTCCTTTGAGCGCTGGACCTTCTCTCAGATGGGGCTTCTGAGGGAGAGGGAATTTTTCCTCCTGGGTGTCTCAGCCCCAGAAGATGATGTTTATCTCTCAAGTGTTAGGACTCTTAATCTGGGATCTTTAAACAAAGTTCATTCCTAAATAACATCTCCATTGTGGAAAAAATGGAACATGCTGACAATCTAAAAAAGAAACTAAAATCACTAGTAATTGTGCTGCTATGAGATAAACACTTAACATTATGCTCTTTAATCTTTCAGATGTGTTATTTTCATCTATAGAGAATATAAGGAAGTATGAGATTAATGGGTTTATAGTTTTTGTTTCAACAAAAGTGGGATTGTGCTATTCATCATTTTGGAATATTCTTTTTAAGTTTAGCAGTGTATCATGGGCATCTTCCTATGCCAGCAAGTAGAGAAATCCATGACCATTTTTAAGGGCTGTGTGGGACTCCATTTTAGAATTCTCTTTATAATTAACTCATGGTTAATTATAGGCCTTAATTATTTCCTTTGGATAAGTGCTCCAAATGGAATTGCTGTGTGTTCACGCATTCCCCCTATACATTCATCAATGTCAAACATCTGTGGAACATTCACCATGTACCAACACTGTCAGAATTTGGATCTTGAATTTCACGTGTAGAACTGAGTGCTGAAGATGAAAGAATATTTGTTTTTCTATTTGTCTTCAGAACCTTATGGTGCCTTATTTTGAATTCATGCTCTTAATGTCTTGTGTTGCTCTATTTGTACTATTTTATGCTCTTGCCAGCAGTTAACGAGAGCGCCATTTCCCTTCAGTCTGTCTAGTGCAGTAGTACACAGGATTATGTTTTTTAAATTTTAGCTTTACTTTTAAATTTACATATAGTGAAGTTTTACTTTGTCGTTTGACAGTTGCATGAGTTCTGACAAATGCACCTAGATGTGTAACTGCCAACGCCATAAGTAGATAGAACAGTTGCATTGCCCAGAACCCTCCTGTACTGTGCTTTGATAATCATACCTGCCCCTCCCCCTGAGCCTCTAGCAACCAGTTGATAATGTTCTTCATTCCTATAGCTCCATCTTTTCCAAATGGCATTTATCATAATATGTAGCATTTTTTAAAAATGATTTTTAAAAATGACAAAATTTTTAAGTATAGTTGATATACAACGTAAGTAGCATTTTAAGTGAATCTGGCTTCTTTGATTACACATCATGCCTTTGAAAGTCATCCATGTTGGGGCCACTTGCGTGGCTTAGTCAGTTGAGTGTCTGTTTCAGCCCAAGTCATGATCTCAGGGTCCTGGAATCGAGCCCCCACATCAGGTTCCACATTCAGAATAGAGTCTTCTGGAATTCTCTGCTACTCTTCATGTTCATGCACACTCTCTCAAAAAGAGAGCCATCTATATTATATTGTTTAAATGTTTGTTGAGTAGTTTTCCACAGTGTGGAATACCACAATTTATCTGTTCACTTGTTGAAAGACATCTATGTTGTTACCAGATTTTGACACTTAACCAATATAGCTGCTATAAACATTCACATACCAGCTTTTGTGAACACAAATTTTCATTTCTCTTGGGTGAATACCAAGGAGTCAAATTGCTGAGCTATATGCTAAGTGTAGGTTTAATTTTTTTAAAGGAATTGCCAAACTGTTTACCTAAATGTTTGTACCATTTTGCATTACCCCCAACAGTTAGTGAGAGTTCTGGTTTGCTCCATTTGTGAGCACTTGGTATTGTCCATTTTTTGGTTCTTGTTTTTAAGCCACTCTGATAGTTGTGTGAAGTGGAATCTCACTATGGTTCTGATTTGTATTTCCTCAATGACTAATGAAATTGAGCATCATTTCATGGTTTTATTAGCCATCCATGTGTTTCCTTTGGTGAAGTATTTATTCCATCTTTGGCCTGTTGAATTGGATTGTTTTCTTACTATCAAATTTTGAAAATTCTTTTTTTTTTTTTTTTTGAGAATTCTTTATATATCCTGGATCCATAAGTCTTTTGTCAGATAAGTGATTTACAAATGTTGTCTTATGGTCTCTGGCTTGACTTTTCATTCTCTTAATGGAATTTTCCACAGGACAGTTCTTAGTCATAACAAAGACCACTTCATCAAGTGTTTCTTTTAGGGATTATGCTTTTAATGATCTAAGGTCTCTCTCTGTAGGTGAAGATTATCATAAATATTTTTTCTATGTTTTCTTCTGGTGGTTTTATTATTTTGTAGTTTGTGTTTAGGTCTGTGATTCATTTTGAGTTAATTGTTAGTGGGAGACCCAGATTGAGTTCTTTATTTTCTTCTTTTGCATGTGGACATACAGTTGTACCACCGTTTGTTGAAAGGTAGTCTTTTCTGCATTGAGTGAGTTTCATGTTTTTTAAAAAATGAGTTTCTTATGGAATGTAGTTGGGTCATTCTTTTCCACTTTTTTTTATTGTGTTATGATTTATATAGTGTTAAACTCATTTTAAGTGTACAATTCAGTGACTCGTAAATTAACAGAGTTGGTCAGCCATCTCTGGATTGCTTTGGCTCCTTTGTTGAAAAACAGTTGATCATATATGTGTGGGTCTATTTCTATGGTCTGTTCTGTTCCGTTGGTTCATGTTGTCTATTCTTTTGCCAATACCACACTGGTCTTTGTCACTACGGCCATGTAGTAGATCTTAGAATCAGTGTGGGACCTCCAGCCTTCTTCTTACTGAATTGTTGTTTCCTGAATTACTTTGGCTATTTTAGTTCCTTTGCATTTCTGTATAAATCTTAAAATCAGCTTCTCAGTATCTGCAGAATCCTGTTAGAATTTTAATTGGGATTACGTTGAATCCATTGATCAATTTGTGAAAACTTGACATGCTTAAAAATATTGAGTCTTCTAATCCCTAAAAACTTATCCCTTTCCATTTTATTAGAGTTTCTTTTATTTCTTCCATTAGTGTTTTGTAGTTTTCAGCATGTAGATCCTGTACACGTTTTGTTATATTTAAGTTACTGTGTTCAGTGCTAAATGATGTGGTTCAGTTTCTAACTGTTCAGTATTAGTGTAGAAACACAGTGGGTTTTGTCTATTGAATTTTTATCTAGTGATCATGCTAAACTCAGCAGCTTTAGGAACTTTTTGTAGATCAATATTTTTTTGAAATTTGCCAGATTGATGGGTAAAACCTGGGGTATCATTTCTTAATTTGTTGCATTTCTTTGATTACAAGGAGGATTATATGGGGTTTTTTTGTTTTTTGTTTTTTTTAATTTCTTTGAATTTTGTAAACATTTCCATTCATTGGAATATTTTGTTGACTGAGTTCTTTCCCATTCATTTTATCAGTCATCTTTTAACTTGTTTGTGGGTTTGTTTTTTTGTTTTGTTTTGTTTTGTTTTGTTTTTTGACACAAAGTGTTTTTGTCTTTTGGGGATTTTATTTGCTTTTTGTTTTTGTTTTAATTTTTATGTAATCAGATTTGATCTTCTTTATGGTTTCAGCATTTGGTATCATGCCCAGAAAGGCTTTCCCCACTCCTCCATACTCTTCTTTCATGGTTGCACGTTCCAGAACCTGATTTTGTGCAAATTTGTGAATTGTACTTTGTGCAAAAAAAAAATTTATATTTATAAAATCATCCTCTTTTATTTGTCTTAAATTGACTGCATATAAATCCCTCTGAGTCTTTTATCTTGGGATTTGTTTGGTTAGGGGTGATTTTGTAGCTTTTTTATATCTCCTACACATCTCTGGGCTGGAGTGTGCTCCTGGCCTTTACCCACAGTGCAGTCATTAAGAAATAGAGGAAGAGTGGGCCATGGTGGTCGTGAGGGCTAAGGTGGCCCATAGAGAGGATTTTTGTTCTTGTTTTTTAAATTTCTCTACAGATTTCATGGCTGGCTTTTTTCATTTAACAGTGTATTATGAACAACTCCATGTCAGAGCAATTAGGTCTATGTTATTTTTATTATTTTATTTAAAGATTTTATTTGTTCATGAAAGACACAGAGTTGGGCAGAAACATAGGCAGAGGGAGAAGTAGGCTTCCTGCAGGAAGTGCGATGTGGGACTGGATCCCAGCACTTTGGGATCATGCCCTGAACCAAAGGCAGATGCTCAACCACTGAGCCACTCAGGCGTCCCTATTCTTTTTTAATGAGGTATAATTTTCTGTTTTAGGAATGTATCATAATTAATGTAACTGTTCCCCTACTACTGGGTATTTAGTTTATTTCTAATTTTTTGCCATTTGTGGATGTTTTACAGTGAGTGTCTCTGTTGCCTCTTTTTAACTTTGCAGGTCTCTTTAATGTGGGGAACAAGCTACTAGTGAGCTTGGACTTGCTTTTTGCAATCCGGAACCAGATCAAGCTGGGAGAGGACCCCAGGGTGTCCATCAGTGCTGTTCTGAAGTCGGTGCAGGAACAGACAGGTACAGGTTGGCTTCCTCCCTTTCCCGTACTAGTCCTGAGTTCCCTGGGAACTTTTAGTGATGGGCTTTGGTTGAATCACCTTAGAGGAGAGTCTAATAGTTGAAAAGGAGACATTCTTGGCTTCCCTGGTACACTCCTCCTTTTGAATTTTACAAATGCCCAAAGTGTGAGTCTTTCCATCCATCCAGAGACCCTCAACACAAAAGTAAGCTGACTCTATGATCAAAGGATCATAGTAGAGTTGGCCTTGCTGCATGTTATATTGAGACCTGAAGGTGGAGACCACCCTCCTTAATATTAGAAATTGTTTTTCTACTTGCTTTCCTTCTTTTGATACTTTTCCCTCCTAACCCTGTAGACTTCAGTTCCCTTGCACCTTGCCTGCTATGAGCTCAGATGGAGTAGGGCAAAAGTTCTAGGGTCAGACAGCCATGTGTTTGAGTCTTGGCTCTGCCACTTAGTGGCAGTATGATTTTTGAGCCAGTTATTTTCTGTGCCTCAATTTCTCCAATTATAAATTGAGAATGAGAATAGCTTGTTTTGTAAAGGTGTGAGGTAAGTGAAATAACGTATCTGAAGCTGTCGGCACAGTCTGGTGCCTGGTAGGTGTTAGTGCAAGACAATTATATAACTGACTGGAATTGCCCTTAGGGGTTGCCACCCAAGCCCTTGAAGGCCAGGGTGTTTGACCCTTGGGGTGGTTGGTGCTCTTGAGTGTCCTTAGAGGAACACTCTTGAAGAGTTGCTATTCTTGCTGGTCCCTGGCTCATCCCCAGTGACCTAGGGGTCTTTTTTGTGACCTTCTCAGAGCTCTTGCTCTCCTTGCAGAAAAGACTCTGACTTCAGACGAGCTGAGCCAGCTGCAGGAGCTGCTGTGCAATGGCTACTGGGCTTTCGAGTGCCTCACTGTCCGAGACTATAATGACATGATCTGTGGCATCTGTGGTATTGCCCCCAAAGTGGAAATGGCCCAGAGGAATGAAGAAAACGTGTTGGCACTGAAGAGTGTGGAAGTAAGTGCCTCCTGGCCACCTTTAGAACTGTCTTCACACTCACTCGGCAGCCACCTTCCTACATGCTGTCCCAGGAGCAGATGGCTCTAGTCCTGCCTGGGGGAGGCGAGTGGCTTTTTCATCTAAGGAAGGCTGGATGGAAATAGAGGCATTTGTTACTTTCCAACGAATTATTAAACATGAACCAGGTGCATTTTTTAGATGCTTGTACATGGCAGTAAGAAACCCATAAAGTTTCTGTGTTCATGGGGCTCAAATTCTGATTTGGGGAGACAGGAAACAAACATTATTAATAATTGTATATATTATATTAATGTCTATTGTATAAACAGTATGTAGTAATTAAAAGTAACATAGTAATAGTAAAGGAGGTAAGAAGAGAATAGTGTGGTAAAGAGGGGGATTCCTGTTTTCTAGAGGGTAATCAGGGAGGCCCTCTCTGATACGGTGGCATTTGAGGAGAAATCTGAAGTCCAAGTAGCTTTCAGGGGAGGAATATTCTAGGCAGAGAGAGAAGCAAAACAGTCTGAGTTGGGCTTACTGTGCATGGTTGAGGAACAGCAAGGAGGCCATGTGACTGGAGCACGTGACTGGCAGAGAAAACAGTAGGACGTGTGAGGTTCGAGAGACTGCAGGAAGCCACTCTCCATGGGGGCATGTGGGCCACTGTGAGGACTTAGACCGAGTGAGATGGAGAACTGTGGATAGATTTTGATCTGTGACTTGGTTCTTAACTAAAAAATGTTCACATAAAGATAATACCAGATTTATACGGCTTCATACATTAATTCTAACAGTTACCCGAGAAATATTCTAATCATAGATGACAAAAGCAGATAGATTTCCCCACCTCATTGTATAAGGCTAGATAACCTTGAAAATAAAGCCAGACTTTTAATATAAGAAAACAAATTGGAGCTGCTTGTATTCATGAATATAGATGCCACAGTGCTGAATAGGATAATAGCCAATCATATCTAACAGTGAAGGAAGTAACCCATCATGACAGGCTTATCCAAGGAAAGCAGCATTGTTTCAACATGAGAAAATATACAAATATAATTTGCTTTTGTACAGTTTATTTTTATTTTTTAAAGATTTTATTTATTCATGAGAGACACAGAGAGAGAGAGAGAGAGGGGGGCAAAGACACAGGCAGAGGGAGAAGCAGGTTCCATGCAGGGAACCTGACAAGGGACTCGATCCGGGGTCTCCAGGAGTATGCCCTGGGCTGAAGGCGGTGCTAAAGGCGGTGCTAAACCGCTGAGCCACCTGGGCTGCCCTGCTCTTGTATAGTTTAAAAGAAAAAAACCCATATGATTATTTCATTAGATGTAAAAAAGGCTTTCGTTCTCATTCAACACCATCTATGATAAAACTCTTACTAAACTGAGAATAATAGAAATCTTTCTTGACCTGGTACATGGTGTTTTTTAAAAAATTGCATAGATTGCTGAACTTTCTCCCATGATCATACTCAGGAGGTCTGGTCTGCCTGCATAGGGATGGAGTACCTGTGAGTGTGCTAGTAGTAGCGGGTGTGAGGGGTGGGGGTGAGTTTTCCATCCCAGAAGGAGCACTGCAACATGAAGTGTCTGTTTAGGCACTGGACCTGCAGCTCACCTGTTCACCACCAGGGGTGCTGTGAGCCCTCTAGAGAAAAGCTTGGATGCGTTTTGGCATAGCCAGCTGAGGCTCTTAGAGATTTAATGTATATTCCTCCTTTTCTTCCCAATTAAAAAAAAAAAAGTCTATATCTTGTTCATGTATCCCATTTGAAGGATGCTGGTGCATAACAAGACATATGAAAGTAAGTATAATGCTTTTTGGAATCTTCTAAGTGTTCTTCATAGATAAAATGAACTATAAAAATTTTGCTTTTTTATGTTATCTCACCAAGAGTCTATTTTCAAACTCTTTCGGATGTGCTTGTCAAATGGTAATCTAATGGCAGTGTTAATAGTGACACAGCTGGGATTCATTGAGCATGTTACTACATATGCCAGTTCTTTTTTTTTATATAATTTATTTTTTATTGGTGTTCAATTTACCAACATACAGAATAACACCCAGTGCTCATCCCGTCAAGTGCCCCCCTCAGTGCCCATCACCCATTCACCCCCACCCTACATATGCCAGTTCTTATGCTGTGCTCAGGGCTTGACTCACTTCTCACCTCAGCCCTGTGAATTTTTGTAGATGAAAGGACCGAAGCCCAGGGGTTTTATTTAAGCTTACTCAGCCAGGAGGGGTGGAGCTGGGACTTGACCTTGGTCTGACTGTCTGACTCCAGAGTCTGAGCTCATGAGCATTGCCATGCTCACTAGAATTTCCTGGGACTCTGAGCCCAAGTTTTATTTTAAAAACACATCTAGCTATAGAGACCACAGATGCCCACCTCCCTGCAAAAACTCCTCTCCTAGTCCTAACTGGCACCTGCCTTTCTGATCAAGGCTCTTTCCCACAGAATCAAGTAGAATTCCCTTCACTTTCGGTATGCATGTCTCTTCTTCTCTACGGTACTGGCTATATCTCTCTAGAGACCAGGGTCTACTCTCTTTTCTCACCACTCCCTGTGGCAAGTGATGTGGTGCCTGTGTGGAGAAGCAGGTAAAGGGTATTCTGAAGTCAGTGAGGTGAAACAAGTTTCTGAACTAAACTCAAATTGGCAGTTGTCCATGAGGAGACTGTCTGGTGGCCTCTCCCCTCAGGGACTGCATAGAGAAGGACCCCCTAGACTGATGACAGTCAGACAGTCACACATCAGTTTGTACACACAGCAGTATGCTCAGTTGGCATTCCTTGCCCCCTTGTTTTATGGAGAGGGTGGCTCAGTGACTGCGAAGTGTGGTGGGAGACTTGTGTAGTTACAGTGTGCACTAGCCCTGTAGGTGGCGGGGAACAGGGGGCTTGGCCTTTGGAACTAGACCTTCAGTCACATTCTCTTTCTACCCCTTGCTGTGGTAGTCTCACCTCAGACAGCCCCCAGACTTGTGCAATAGTTAATCAGACAGTGTCCGACCTGTAACAGGTATTTGGTGGTAGCTCCCCTTTCCTTGCAGGTCAGGGAAAGGACTTGAACAAAGGCAGATGCAGAAGGGCCTAAGAGCTGTTCAAATATTGGGGAGAGCTATGGTATGGGGGAGATGGATGTGGCCAAAAGGCAGTTAGGTACTAAGATATCAGATTTGGGGGCGCCCAGCAGTGCATGGCTGGCTGACACCTTCCACCTTTGTTGTCTTGAGTGGATCAAGATGGTGGACTCTTGTGTTGCTGATACTCTGTGGCTCCTATAGTTTGATCTTTTTATCCTGACCTTTTAGTTCACCTGGCCCGAGTTCTTGGGCCCCAGTGAGGTAAACGTGGAGGACTTTTGGGCCACGATGGAGACAGAGGTGATTGAGCAGGTGGCCTTCCCTGCCAGCATCCCTATCACCAAGTTTGATGCCTCTGTTATTGCCCCCTTCTTCCCACCACTCATGAGAGGCGCTGTGGTCGTCAACACCGAGAAGGACAAAAACCTGGATGTGCAGCCGGTACCTGGTAAGATCACCTGGTGGCTCACTCGGGTCAGGGAAGGGCCCAGTCCAGAGGCTGGAACATTTCCATGGCCAGATAGCATCAGTGGCAGAAGGGGGTGGAGGAAGGCCCACTTAGAGGGCTCTTAATAGAAAGATCATGACAAGGGGTCATGAAATTCCCTAGAGGTTAAAGTCAGGTGTAGAATTTTGAAGAGCCGCAGCCACCTTTCACAAAACAGTACTTTTCCTTACGAAGTGGAATGTATTTTCTGTTCTATTTCATTTTTAAAATTCTGGATATGACCCACTGAGGTGATTTTATAAGTATTGAGTATGTTGTGATCCACTAGTTCTCAAACAGTACTTCCTAACTTTAGATGCTGAGGTCCCACCTCATACTTGATGTTTTAGGGCCTAAAATTCATTTTCCTTTTTAACACCTCCACATAGTTCACTGTTGGTTAGGCGGTACAGTTTTGAAATGAGACCCACTGCTCATCGTGTTGCTGCCCTTGTGGTAATCCTCTGAGATCTTGGTTCTGAAAAACCTTAAAAGATGAAAAGCATACCGATTTTCGAGTTCTTTGCAAGGGCACTCTGCTGGATCTCTATCCTAGACGTTCAAGGTCAAAAAGCCAGTTCTGAGAGACTTGAAATATCTGCAGAAGTTAGAAGACCCGCCTGGAGTCCACCTCCCTCAGCACGGAGGGCAGTGCTCAGGGCAGAGCCTGCTTCTACTGCTTGCCGGATTTAGGCCTCGTTCCCTGGTTCTCATCCTCACACTTGAGGGACTCCCTGTAACCCCTGTTGCCTGGTGGCAGTGTCCTCCCTTCAGCAGGGTCGTCTCTTACAGGCCATGGTAGTGCCCTGGTGAGGCTGCTCCACGAGGGCACTTGCAAGCTCGAGGAGATCGGCTCCTACAGTGAGGAGGAGCTCCAGCACCTGCTGAGGCAGTGTGGCATCCCCTTTGGGACAGAGGACTCCAAGGTGAGTGGGGGGGGGCTTCAGTGCAGACAGGGACTTAGGGAGCAGACTGGTGGTTTGCTTTCTGAGCAAGGAGATGAGCATCTGCAACAAGTGCCCATGTGGTACACAAGGTACTTGCTGGCAGTCAGGGAGACCTGGGGGATCATTTGCAGCCAGGTCATGACAGGTATGCAAGGCCTTTCCCTCCAATCAGTTCTTCTGGCCAAGGTAATGGGTCCAGACTCTGGGGTCAGGAATACTGGTTTTCCCGCTAAGTGTGACTTTGGATAAGCTATCTTTCATCTCAGCCTCATTTTCCTGGTTTACAAAGTGGAAATAACCAAAATACTGACCTGACAAGGTTGTGAGGAAGGCGTTTTGCAGTGTGTGGTTATCGCCTCTCCAGGCCCTTTGTGAATGAGCATTGTTATATCCAGAGAGAGGGGTAGGGAGAAAGGGACAGAGGCTATGTGTGTGTGCATTATCCATTCATTATTTACTTTTCTTCAAACTAATGTTCTTTTGAACATTTTATGCTTCCTTCAAGTTCAGATTCAAATATTAGCTTCTTTTTGAAGCATTCCCTACCCTGTGAAAAGTAGGAAGACCCCCAGGCCTCAAAGACTCTGGCACCTTGATCACTCTGGCTGGCTTTCTCTGGGACCTGGTCCTTTCAGGGCGTCAGAGTCCCCATCTGTACCTAAAAGACATTAAGTTAGTAAGGCTCCAAGGCATACTCTGGCCTTGACAGTTTATTCTCTTACTTTGGGTATTGAAGTGAGCATTTGGTGCTGCACACCAAGCCTGGTCCCTTAGCATTTACTACTTTGTTTTTAATCTTGTCCTGCTCCAGGAACAGCTCTGCTTCTCCTTGTTGGCTCTCTATGAATCTGTACAGAATGGAACCAGAGCTAGACAGCCCCCACCTCATCTCACAGGGGGTAAAATCTACAAGGTGTGCCCCCATCAGGTAAGTGGATAACGAGGAGCTTGGGGTGAATTTGTCCATGACAGATTGCCCACACAGAATCTGGTTGATCAGCTTATCCTGTGGGAGCTGGCACTTAGATCACTGGACAGCCTGTGGAATAGCTCATTTTGGGTCAGATGCCACGCTTTGGACTAGGAAGGGAGCTTGGGTCATCATCAGTGAATATTAAGCACCCTTTCAGATGCTAGCCCTGTGTCAGTTGTTGAAGGTACAGAGGTGACTAGTGAAGATGTCATTCCTCTCTAGTTGACCTCACTTAGAGAAGAAATAGAGCTACCATGGCCTAGGGGGCTAGCTCTGAAGGAACAAGACAAATCCCTGAGATAGAAGGCAACAGGGAGCTCCTGTCTGGGGCAGCCAGAGAAGGCTGAAAGTCCAATGATGAGATATGGAAAGAATGTTCCAGCAGAGGGAAGGGTGACCACTAAGTTCTGAGTAGGGAAACATGGTGAGCCCAGAAGAGGAAGACTGGAGAGGTAACCAGAGACCAGATCATGTAGTGCTTTGTAGGCCGCATTAGCAGTCTGGGTTTCCTTCTGAGGCACTGGACTGTTCTGAGTAGGAATTGGGGAAGAGGTAGTTCTGATTTGGTTTAAGGAGGGCACACCTCAAGTCTGTGGAGCGTGGACAGGGTAAGTCACTGGGATAGCTCTGGGAAAGTTTCACACTGTATGACAAAGCAGGTTCAGGAAGATACTGGGTTTGAAGACCCCCTGAACAGGTACCAAATGGGGGAGGGACTCCTAGCAGAGCCCTCAGTTCACTCAGCTGCATGAGTGGGCATGGCAACTGGCTGTCAAAAGAGAATCTGATTATCAACTTCTTCAATAAAAGCTGTATTTGAGGGGCAGGCTTGATGCCTTTCCCCTGGCAGAACAGACCCTGAGCAGAGGACTGTGTTTGTTGACTAGGGACTGTCTCATGAGAAGCACATGACCACACAGCTGTGAGAGCTACAGAGCTCGGGGCTGTGATGGGCGAGCGGTAGACTAGAGGTTATATCTAAGACTGGTGGGGGTGAAGGAAGGGAGGTGGAGGGAGACACCGGGTCCCCACTGCACACACAGCTCCTCCTCCCCAGCAATGAAGTGGCTCCTGGGAAGCGCAGTCAGTGGAGGCGTTTACTAGTTTACATGGGGTTCCCATCTGGCTGGCATATCCGGGTCTGGAGGGGAGCTGCTCAAAAGCCCAGATGCTGAGACCCCATCCCCAAAGGCTGATTCCTTAGGTTTGGGATAGGATCCAGGAACCCCCACGTCTAACCAGCTGTTAGCTGCTGGGGCTGTGTGGCTAGGAATTGGAGCCTGTGGACAAGATGGTACTTAGTAGGGCAGTGTGGAGGGTGGGGTTGGGGATCTCTTGGCCTCGATTGAAGACCAGATGCTCCCAGCTGTACTCTTTCAGGAAGTCAGGGATGAGCTGGCAACTTTATTTAGGGACAGAAATAGGAAGCAGAATGTGTTGGGCTCTGGCAGGACAGCCATGGCTTTAGTCATGAAACCTGATTATTCATCTTTCTGGGAAGAAGACTCAACTCTGTCTGCTGATTTCTTAACTCTGTGCTACGCCCTCCATCTCCCTGCTCAGGTGATCTGTGGCTCCAAGTATCTTGTGCGAGGTGAGAGTGCCCGTGACCACGTGGATCTGCTTGTCTCTTCCCGCCATTGGCCACCTGTCTACGTGGTAGACATGGCCACACCAGTGGCCCTATGTGCTGACCTCTGCTACCCCGAGCTGACCAACCAAATGTGGGGGAGGAACCAGGGCTGTTTCTCTAGCCCCGCAGAGCCACCTGTGGTAAGTTCCCTTCTGAGAAACTAGAATAAGTCCCACAGACTGACCATGTCTCACCTCCTGGTTATTTGGGAAGGCCTTCTGGGAACCATCTCTAGCATCCTTTGTCTCAACTACTATTTTGTCTTGATGCTCTGAGCCAGCATTACTGCACAGATTTTTACTGACCTGTATGTGTGTGTGTGAGTCCCCTACATATCACTTAAGAGTGCCCAAGGTGTCCCAAGCACAGATATTTTGGGGTCAAAGGGGTTGCCTTCCAAGTACTGATAAGCCTTTAACAGTACTGCCTCTGGGAGATGTCATGCACATTGGCATACTAAAGGCCTGGATCAATCAGGTCTTGGTTCTGACTGTGAATGTACTGCATGGCATACCTGTTGTGATCTAGAGGCCCAGAGGCTTAGAAAACCCCACTCTAGCCAACCCTCTCCTTTTAGGAAAATGTAAAGTAAGGTCCAGAGAGGGGAGATGGACTTTGTCCAGTGTTACATAGCAGATAAGTGGCAGGACCCTCATCTCAGTATTTTAGTGCTTTGTACCAGGCAGTGATTCCTACCAGACATACGTGCACTTTGCTGGAAGAGCCGTTAGGACTGGCAACAGGAAGAAGGGGACGTTATCATCACTTACCTTCTCCTTATTCCCAGGGACTCACTGGCTCTGGGAGGTTGTGCCAGGCACTGCTGAAAAGCACCTGAGCCTCAGTGAGAGCCCCGCTCTCCACTCCCCTGCAGCCCAGCCTGAATTGACTAGGCATAGTAATAAGCAATAGCAGCTCAGGTAATCTAACATCTGTTCTGGGAAGTGGCCTCTGTGACTGTCACTGTCCTCCCAAGGAGACGGAAGCCCAGGAAGAGGAGAGGGGACTTGCCCCAGGAGATGTGAGCATATGTGGTAACTTGAGGGTTTCAGTAGGGCTGACTGACACCACCCCCCTTCACTCTCACCCACCATACAGCTTTTACCATAGTCATTCTCTCATGTCAGAGTGGTTTCTTATCTCTAGAGCGTATCCTGCCCGGAACTCTTGGACCAGCATTATACCGTGGACATGATGGAGGCTGAGCACTCTGTCCAGCACCCAGTCACCAAGACTGCCACACGTCACATCGTCCACCTAGACACACAGCCCAGTCCTGGTGACCCCAGCACTGGGCACCACTCTTCAGCCCTGTGCCCTGAGTTGGCACCCTATGCGACCATCCTGGCCTCCATAGCAGACAGCAAACCAAACAGTGTCCGCCAGCGGCCCATTGCCTTTGACAATGCCACCCACTATTACCTCTACAACCGCCTCATGGACTTCCTCACCAGCCGTGAAATTGTCAACCGGCAGATCCATGATATTGTGCAGAGCTGCCAGCCTGGCGAGGTGGTCATCCGAGATACCCTCTACCGCCTTGGGGTTGCTCAGATCAAGACAGAGGCAGAGGAGGAGGGTGAGGAAGAAGAGGTGGCCGCAGTGACAGTATAAGCTGGGCTCTTGCACAGGGACTGCACCGTCTCAAGCCATAGTGAGGCCCTTGCCCAAGGCAGATCCATCCAGGGGACTGACAGGAATGTTCACCTTTGGGGAGGCCTCTGATGCTGGGACTGACCAAAGAGCTTCCATTTCCTGAGCACGGTGGGGCCTGGGGTCCGTGGTTCTCAACCTTCTGGGGGTCAGGAGAAGCACCAGGACACTCCTTACGAGCCCTGAGAGAGCACTTGGGGGACATCGTATGCTCAGCAGAGAGGAAGGGAGGGCTGAGGGAGTGCTGGTAGCTGGTGGCTTCCCTGGAGCCTCCTGTGGGTCAGGGTGGAGAACCTGGGGTAGGCTAAGGCGGAGTCCAGCGCTAGGTGGGGAGGCTGCTGCGGTCTCTCTTGCCACCCCTGGGGAATGTTCTTTCTAGCCCCTGCAGCCACATGACTTCCTTAGCCTGTTGCCTTTGACTTGGGGCCTTGGGGGCCTCATTAACTCTAGGGGTCCCTTTGGGCTCTTGATTTTCCCAGAGGAGGGATGCATTTTCCTCCTCCTCTTCCTCCACCCAAGTTTAAGGGAAGCTGAGGAGGGAGAAACAGCCACAGCTGTCTTCCAGGACTGTCTTCTCTGCTCTGAGCTTTGAGGAAGAGGATCCCCTTCCTCCTTTCCCTGGCCACTGCTGCTGCATCCTACATCCTTTCTGGGCCCTGGACCCTCACCTCAGAGGGGATGTGGCCCGTTGGCATGACATAACCTGGCGGCAGTAGGAAAAAGTCCCTTCTGTGAAGGGGAAGCAGACTGGGCCATAAGGAAACAGCGGGACTGGCTCAAGTGCCTAAGGTTTGCTTAGGGCACGGGAATTGGCCGTGTGTTATTTAATTTATTGAGAGGAGTGGAGTAGGTGGCTTTTTTCCCCTCCTTCTTCCCCTGCCAAGAATAAAATTTATTAAATTATCTGTTTTGGTGAAGCAAGAGTCAATTCCATGCTCATTGTGTGGGGTGCAGTGTGGTTGAGCCTCTGAGGTGCCAAGCTGGTCACTTGACATGAAGGGTGGAAGAGACCCTGGGGAATCCACAGGCCCCCCAGGGACACAGAGAACTGGAGGCCAGCTGTGTTAATGCTGTTAGTTTAATGACTGAGACATCCCGCAGGGCAACTGTTAGTTACGGGGAGTCAGCTTGGAGTGCATGCTGCTTGCTTGGTGTGGCCAGCCACACGGGCCCCTGCCTTCCAGCTCAGAATGACCGGGGACTGGTCAGAACCCCGAACTTTTAGCTGCCACCTGGCTCATTGTAGCGACCAGATCCGGAGCGAGTGGGGCTGTAGAGACCAGGTTAGAGGGCGCGGACTAGAAGGTCCAGTTCATTCCTAGGAGCCACCCTGCTCTGAGGTGCCCGGGCCAGGCACAGTCTCTGAGCACCCTTCTGCTCTTGCCATTGCACTCGGCTGCAGGGGGCGTCCTACTCTGACAAAGCCCAAGAAGCCTGGTTTTCCCAACGTTGATAGGCACAAAACCGGTCCGTTTCCAATGAGATAAGAGGGAGAGTAGGGAAGGGGGTTCCTGGGAGTGGGAACAAGGTTAAGAGGGTGAGCTGGGGGTTCTCCCCTTTGGCATAGCAAGCATGAGGCCATAGCATTGAGAACAGTGGGCGGGGGGCTCAGCCCTAGCCCCTGACTGGCAGTGACGGCCCAGGTCCCGGAAGGGTTCTTCCCAAACTCCTATGGATCTCACATTCCTGAGATTCAGAGCTGGGCCGAGCTGTTGAGTGAAATGACCAAGGGCAGAGTCCGTAGGCTCCCCGCCGTGGTGCCCCATCCACAGTGGAGTTGAAGCTTGGAGGAAGGGAAAAGCAGTGCTTCCCGGTCGTCTCCTCAGCAGAACTGGTAGTTGTTGGGCTGCAGCAGGGGCTGGGCAATATCCCCCTGTTCACAGCAGGCCAGGTGCTCGCTAGAGCTCTCCTCCTCTGGCTCACTACTGCTGCCACTGCCACTGCTGCTGCTTGGCAGATTGGTGTAGTCCTGGGTTGGAGAGGCCAGGGGTGGTCAGTCCTGATGGTTCAGGCCCAGCCTGGCCTGCTGGAACCACCCACCCACCCTGAGGCTGGCCCCACTCACTGGCTCTCTCCTGTCTGCTTGGGCCTGCTCCTGGAGGAGGGAGCAGATCTGCTGGAAGGTGGGTCTTCGGGTGGGCTCCAGGGCCCAGCAGGCCTGCATGACGCTGTATCTGATGGGACAGGAACTGCTTATGGGTCTGGGGATCGTGACACAGCTGTGCGCGGCAAGAGGGCACACACACACACCCCACACCTTGCAGTCTTGCCCAGCAGAGGTCCTGAAACCTAGTGACAACGGGCCTGACACAAGACCTGTGCCAAGCCCTTGACATGCATTATCTTAATCTCCCCAGTAGCCCTTGGGAGGTATTTATTTCACGCCCATTTGACAACTGAAAGGAGAAAAAGCTCAGAGGTGTTCTCTTGCCCAAGCTCCCAGAGCTAAGAAGGGGCGCTCTTGCTGCCGGCAGGTAGGTTTGAGGGCTGGGCTGAGAGATGAGTAAGTGGCTGACTAACGGGAGACTTAAGGGCAGGCGGGCTGCAGGGGCTCGGGGCTGGTGAACCCGCTGGGGCACGGGGAGCGGCTGTGCTGAGTGGCCAGGGAGGAGTGCAGTGGGTCGATTCATGGCCGGCAGGCCTGTGCAGAGGCCGCGGTGCGGTGGGGGGTCAGCAGCTCCTGGTGGGCCAGCTGTGCTGAGGCAGTGGAGAGGCCGCAGTGGCTGCAGGCTGTGCAGTGAAAGGCTGGCTGACACTACGGCTTGCCAGGACAGAAGAAATGACAGGAGCCCGCCTTGAGGTCATGATAAGAGTGATTTAAAAATCATTTGTGTAACCAGTCCCAGTTAGGGGACCTCTGAGAACACCCTCTAGGCTACCTGGGAAACCAGTGCAAACCCTGAACTCGCTCTGAAACAGGTTTGGTTTGGCCCACTGTGGGGGAGGTAAAGCCTGGCCCTGGACCACCCGACAGGGAGACTGGGACCAGGTGCACTTCTAGCTCCTTCAGCCAAAGCCTGGGGTATCTTCTTTCCTCCCTGGGGTCCCTCACTTACATGTTCTTGGGGGCGAATGCAGGCTGGGCCATTTGGTATCCATCCTTCACTAGTTTATAGAACTTGCTGTTCACCAGGATGCCAGGGTAGGGGTTCAGCCCTGCAAAGGCCAAGATCGCGTAGGAGACCATGCTCAGTGCTCACCTTCATCTGCCCCACACCCACATACATCTTGGGAAGGCTGGGGTGCGCATTACAAAGGCCGTAGGCTTCAACAGAACTGGGGGGTTTTCACCACGCAGCCCTCGCAGGCAGCCCTTGCAGGCAGCCCTCGCAGGCCTCGTTCGTTACACCCAGAATTCCAGCACAGGCTTTGGAATAAGTTGTTAGAGGAGCTTGTTGAAGGGCTTAGCCCAAGTCCCTGGGCCTAGTGCTCCAAAAGCAAGATAGGCACATTACAAGAGAAAACTGCATCGAGGAAGTGGCAACTGCATGGGCAGGCAAGTGAGGGAACAAGTTGGACAGGATGCCCGGTGGCGTGGAGCTTCTGCTGAGCCCTCACGGGAGCTGCACTGCTTGGTTTTCAGACTCTTTGCCCATCATTTCACTCCCATCAGCCTTTGCCCTGGGCACCAGGTATCCTTGAGTGGCATCCTCCATGAGGTATCGGACACCATGGTAACAACACGAGTCAGCCCCAGGCCGATCCTGCACTGGGCCAGCGGCTTACCGAGTGAGAAGATTTCCCAGAGCAGGATGCCGTAGGACCAGACGTCACTCTGAACCGTGTAGACACAGTCAAAGATGCTCTCTGGAGCCATCCACTTCACAGGCAGGCGGGCCTGGCACAGCAGACACCAGTCATCTCGGACCCTGGCTCACCCCCGCTCCCCAGCCTGGCCCACCCTCACATCCCCGCACTCACATTGCCTTTGACGATGTAGTTGGAGTCATTCATGATGTCCCTGGCCAGCCCAAAGTCCCCAATCTTGGCCACACGCCCACTGGTCAGCAGGACATTTCGGGCTGCCACGTCCCGGTGGATGCACTGAAGGGAAGCGCTTGCAGGGTTAGTCTCAGCCCCTCCCCTACTTGAGCCTGAGGTGCTGGGGGGGGACCAGCCAGGGCCCCAGAAGGCCTTGGGCTCCTCATTGAGGGGGTGGGCATCTGTCATGGTCCTCTATTCTGGCTCCTGTCCCTACCTTCTACTGAGACCCAGGTGGGAGGAAATTTAATGCTGTCAGATAGTTTAGTATTTAAAAACCACCAATTGCTGTGGCCCTCTGGCCCTGAGCACCAGGTCTTGACTTGGAGCTAAGCAATCTGCTAGGGCACAGAAGTAGTGAGCCCTGGCACTGGGAACAGCCTCTGCCCCCCTCGCTGGTTACTAACAACAGCACCTGCCACCTCTAGAGCTCTACCAAGCCAGGCTCTTCTCTAAGCATCAACCCACATTATAACCCTGTGACTATGCCCATTTTTATAGATGTAGAAACTGAGGCTCAGAGAATCGCAATAGTTGCTCAAAGTCGCACAGCAAATGGCAGAGCCAATAATCAAACTCTGGACTCCCAGATCTGCTGTAAGGAGGACGGTCACAGCTCCCACTCACTGGGCACTTCTTGGGTTGAGTGTGTTGTACACATACCCTCACAACACCTTCTCATACTCTCACAACAACTCAGGGAGTTCCCTTCATCAGCCCCACGTGACCGTGTGCTTCACAAGGGGACACATGGGTTGTCCTGTTCACACTGTTGACCCAAACCAAGGAATGAAGCCTGTTCTTGGAAATGCGGTCCTCTGCAGCCTGCTGCACACCAGGGAAACGGGGCTACTCAGGCTGGGGCTCTCCCTGTCCTGCGGAGGAGGAACTCGCAGGCACAGTTTTCTCCCACTCACTCCTAGAGGCTGTGTGGCCACTGCCCACTTGCTCTCTGGCACTCAGGCTCCTCCTTGGCTCCATCACATGCTCCCCTTTCCTCCCCTTCATCCTCAGTCATCCAGCCTCATGGGGGTAGGGGTGGGGGAGAGGTTCAGCCATCCCCCCTGCCCAACGTGATCATGCTCAGACCCAGTTTATGACTCACGTTCTTGGATGCAAGGAAGGCCATGCCCTGAGCCACCTGGCTCGAGAAATGGAGCAGGTCCCGCAGCTCTAGTGGTCGCCCATCCTCTTTGTCCAGGTCTGGTGTGGGGAGAGATGTCACGGCAGCCCCATCACACACCTGCCCCTCCCTGCCCAGACCCCAGCAGCCCCTCTCTGCACAGCAACCCCACCCCCACCCCACCCTGCAGCCCAGCACCTCCTCACTTTGTTCAGAAAAGGAGTCGTTTGACGAAGAAGTAGAGACAGGCCTCATCTCCACGTAGGTGTCTACACCCTGGCTGGAGAAGCCGCTGTCCCTGTACAGGAGAAAGGGTTGGGGATGGCAGGTGAGTTCTTATTGCTACACCACTCAGCTCAGGCCTTGGCCTCACCAATGGGCAGGGAAGGACAGTGACCTCAAGGTCAACTTGAACATCCTTTTCTGACCGGGAATCCCATGCCACGTTCTGTGTGAGTAATCATTGATCTCTGCTTGGCCTTCCATGAGGAAGCTGACAATTTGTTCTATCGCTGGGCAGCTCTCTGCCTGCTAGAAAGCTCTTCACTGTCCCTCATGCCGGTCTGCCCCCTGGGATTTTCCTCCCGCTGGTTCTTGCTCAAAGGCCATAGACAATTAAGCTCCCTTTCCCCATAACAGCTCTGCAGGCATTTGAGCATATTCTAGGGCCCCTTCTTTGAGCCTTCTCTGTCTGGACAGTGTCTCTCACCCACCTGGGGAGTTGTCAACTCTCCCTGTGCCCAGACCACCTCCAAAACTAGGGGCAAAACCCAGTCATTCACACTTTGAAATCTGGCCA